CTGGAATCTATAGTGACCTGAAGACCTCGAAGCATTGGATTTTCTAAAACTGTTCTTTGCATTGCATTCTTCGGAAATGCTAACACAACATCTGTAACATTATGAAGAGCGTATGAGAAATCTGAGCTAATACCTTCAGGAGTGATGCAACCTCCATTTAGTGAACGAACGTCAATATGTTGAGCTGGAATCATGAATGGATCTTCCTTACTGAATAAACGTGGTATTGCTTTAACTGATTCTTCAATTAAACCGTATCCTGGTGTAATGCATTTATCCTCTAAAACTTCCATCTTTGTGCATGAAATAATAACGTCATCAACTGTTGCGTCAGCAGATGTAGCGGCTAAGCTTGTAATTAATTTGGCAGGAAGTCCGATTTGTTGGAATTTGCGATCATATTTATAAACATGATTCATAATCTTTTCATAATTTTCATCAGTTATCTTTTCATAAACGTAATTTTGTAAATCAGCAACTCTTAACGGGTCAACCTGACAAAATACTAAAGTATCCCTGAAAACATAATATTTAAGAATGATATCACCAAATGATTTAGGATAATCATCGAACGCCTGAAATGCTAACAAATCATTTACCGGAATAATCATATCAAAAGTGACATCAACTTCTTCATTTGCTTTCTTGAAAACTTCTGAAGGGTCAATATATTTACCACATACTGAGTTATCATATTTTTGAACATTATTATATAACGAATGAACAAACTTTTTAACTTTCCTTTCTGATTTTGGTTTATATGTTGCAAATGCGAAAGATTCACGGGCGCAATCCATCTGAAGATAACCGGCATCACCTCTTTCGGTTTCTACTTCTAATTGTTTAAAGCTTTGATTTGATGATTTGTAACCAACGAATAAACGCATGCATTTAAAAGTGGCATCACATGTGAAAGCTTTATTTGAAACTAGAGTTGCTTTAACTTTGCGTTTAATATATGTGTCACCTAATTGGTTCACATCATGAGCCGGATTTGTAATTCTTAAATGAGTTTGTTTATCATCAAAATATGGAGCATCAGAGTCATAGCATGAACTTTCAAGTTCTCTATAATATTTTCTACCGTCATTCTTTGCGAATATTTCATTTATCTTTTCGAATGAATGAAACACATTTCCATTAATCGGTTTAGTGTTTGGCACCAAATAGTTAGTCGTCATTTATTAATAAATAAAAAATCAAAATTAAAAGATGAAAATGAATTTTTAATTTTAATGAAATAATCAACTATGGCTGCAGGTATATTTAAGAAACTGTGGGATAGAGTAAAAAGAGGAGCAAGTAAAGTTTGGGAAACATTGAAGAAGGGGGCAAATTGGATATTTAAGAATAAAGAAGCAATTAGTGACGTTGCTGAATCAATAACACCAAAAGCTGCCCCAATAAGAGAAGTTTTAAATAAAGGAGAAAAAGTTTATCAAAGACTACAACCGATACTAAGATAAAAATAATTTTAAGCCGCTAAGTGGCGAGATGATCCATAGGATCTCATATTTATTTTTCCACTATCTACCTCCTATTTTATTAAGTATTCCTTCAGCTATTCCACCAACTGCGTTACCTGCTTGTGCTCCCATCGCCGGATTACCTGCTTTAGTACCTAATACTCCACCTATGATAGTTCCTGCCGTTTTCGCTACTGGTGCCAAAAAGTTTGCAACGGGTTTAATAATCTTTTTATGAACCCAACCCGCAGCTTTCTTAATTCCATCCCATAATTTTTTAAAGAATCCTGCCGCCATTTCTGATTTAATATTAATTAAAAAAATATATTTCATCACTTATATTCTAATTTTTATTTAATGATAAATGAAACCGATTTTAAAAATAAATGAAACAGAGGAGGAAGAAATAAATGAAAGTGAAAATGTTCAACAAAAAATAAACGTTGTTAAACCAATTACTGAAATAAAAATTTTTTCATCTGTTGAAGAATTTAATGACTATTATGCTAATAATAAAAAATTATTTGAAGAATTGACAACGTGTAAATTGAATAAAATGTTTAAAGTTGATGGATTCAAAATTTCAAAAATAAAAGGAGTGGTTAGTTTGAAATCTATTCCTCAAACAAGAATCACCTCATTAATGAAAATAGATGATTTAACAAAAAGAATAGAAGAGATTGAAGAAAGAATGAATCAAATAATTGATTTCATAAATTCAAATAATCATTAGTTTCTTAAAGTTCTATGTTGAACTCATCAAATTCTTCTTCATCATTACCATTACCTTTAGCGAGTTTATTTACTCTTTCAACTTTATCTTTTGATAGTCTTTCGTTTAATTTTTTCTGAAGTTTTTCGTTACCAAGTTCTAAAATTTTACATGGATGATATTTAAACCCGTTAAATTCTTTTTCCTCAGTTTTAATCATTAATCTACAAAGAACTTTAGTGAGGTGGTTTTGTTGTTTAAACCATTTATCCTTAATATTTGTTATAAATTCAATATCCGGAATTAATTCCCAAATTTTTGAATTTTCGATTAATTTACCATCAAATGCAAAAGCAATAGGTTTAATATTAAACTTACCTTTATAAAATAAACTTTGTACGCAATCATCAAAATAAACGTCTACTTGTTTAACCTGGGTGAGAATTGGTGAAAGTTTATCCATTAATTGATTCACAGTCACGAATTTTGATTCACTCATTTCTTACGAATTAAAAAAATAAATTATTCAAAAATGTAAGACATGAATTTTTAAAGTTTATTTTTTAAAAATTTTTTTATTTTTTATTTCATTATGGTAGTGAATCTTTTATTCATGAAAATAATTATATCTGATTTATTTTATTCTCTCGTACATACTAGATTTGAAGAATTCAGAACATTTCCCATAATCTCCTAAATGTTTTCTTATCCCTAACGTGTGCCAGTTATTATATGAAACTGAATAAACTTTATCTTTATCTTTACACCTTTTATCACTTCCAATATATTTATATCTCAGTTTTGATTTAGCATTTTCATATTCATTAGCGTTTAATAATTCACAGTCTTCCTTTTTAAATTGATGTTTAAGATATTCAGGATTTAATACTCTACGTTTATATGCTCCTAACTTAGTTCTAAAGGTTTTTCTACAAAATTTAGGAATTCCATCTTCTTTAATGTCATCAATGATTTCCATTTCATTATTTTCAATTTCTTCTTCTCGTTTATGAGGTCTTTGATTATGACTCCATTGATTCCATGAAATTAAATATTCTTTATCATTATATTTATACCTCATTAGCTTATTTTGGCTTTCATATTCATTTAATAATTCACAATCTTCATTTTTAAAAAAGGTAACTAAACTCCTTTCGCCGATCCGATTTGCTCCATATTTAAAATATAGCTTGCATATGTAGAAGAAAAGCTAATTTTGAAGTACGCCCGAAATCCACCAACAGGATTTCGAGCTACTAAAAAGGTACTTTTAAATGTGATTTTTTTTATAAAAAATTAAATTTATTTTAAGATCAGACTAAAAACTAATTTTATGGAAAATCTATATCGACAAATTTATTACTTATTGGGTATATAGATTTTTTGATTATGGTGATTATGTCTGATATGCTTCCAATAAGCCAAAACACATTTCATACTGATTTCTATAAAAGGTATCTTTATTATAGAAGTGTAAGCTATATCTGTTTGTTTTTTTATTATAACAAATTCAAAATTCTCTTATAAGGACTAGATGAAATCTGTATTATTAAATCATTAGCTAAATGAAGGTTCAAATAGAAAGTAAATATCAATTTATATGATACTGAAACCAAATAGTTCTTTTAATAAAAGATAACACGCTGAAAATTATTGAGTATTTGCAAATCTCAAAAATCTATTGGTGAATTTGGCTCAACTTTTAAAATTATAACATCCATATCAAATCATAAAAGCAGACAAAAATTAAAGCCAAACCTATCGGCCAATTTTTTTTGATATTTTGATTTTTGAGGTATACTTTTAAAAGTGGATTTAAAGCACTTATGAAAAAACATTAACTTCTGTCGTTATGATTATTGATTTAGACAATAATGATTTTAATCTTTGATTATCAAAACACTAAAGTCATCTTTTTAACATTTGCTTGGTAGCATTAACTCAAGTCTAAAGTACTATTTTATGTGGCACTCTTAGAATTTTTGTATTCATTGTACACGCTGAAATAGTACCATTAAAGTTATGGCGGACTTTCAAAAAATAGTTTGGTCACCTTTTTTTTAAATTGAAGTTTAACCCATTCAGGATTTAAACAATGTTTAATTAATCGCGGAATATCTGACATCATCTATATATAGCTTCTTTTATAAAAGATAAAATAAATTATTTTAATGATTTATAAATAAATATATTTTAATGCATCGTCTATATATAGATGTAACAAAAAAAGTCACTAAACCCGTCCGCATATACTACTGAACGACTTTCTGCGATCAAGTAGCATTATTACATAACTACAGCCTACACAATATCAATAATGTGTACTAAAAGTTATATTACTAAGAATTCATGGAGATATAAAATAATTAACACGAAATTGGCTGTATGTATTGTTATTTTGTCATCAACTGAAGAAATCATGCAGTCAATACATTATTATTGCTGTATTTAATTAAAATAACTCAATAAAATGCTCCATTGCTTTAAAAAAAAAATCATGATGAAGCATAATTCAATTATAATATTTTTTCTCTACTATATATAGCGTAAAAGTGCAATTTAATCAGAGGTACTAGTCTTTTAAGCTTATAAAACTTTTTTCTCCAAGATTGATGTAAGTACTATAAGTCTACTATTTAAATTCGAAAATAGTTTGGAAAACTTATATTATAGCATGATTGATTATCAAATCTATTAAAAATCATATGATTGATACTTTGAATTGCGAAATGTTCGTTTATTTATTTAATTTCATATTGTTCTTTATCCCAACCTTTATGAGATTTCAAAAGAATTGTAGAGACAAAAATTAATTGATTAAAATGCTAGACAATATCAAAGCAGTTATCTTTGATCTTGATGGAACACTTGTTGATTCCATGTGGATGTGGGGAAGAGTTGATATAGAATTCCTTGGCGCTCGTGGAATTGAAGTTCCAGCAGATTTAGGTCAAGCTATCAGTGGAAAGAGCTACACAGAAACCGCAATATATTTCAAAGATCGTTTCAAACTCGATATGACACTCGACGAAATCAAAGCTGAATGGAGTAGGATGGTCGAAGATAAATATTCTCACGAAGTCTTTCTTAAGGATGGTGCATATGATTTCCTCCAATACCTTCGTAAAAATGGTATCAAAACAGGCATTGCTACAAGCAACGGCATGGATTTGGTCGAAAGATGCATTCAGGCAAACAAAATTGGCGAATTCTTTGATTGCATCAAGATTGCTTGCCAAGTTAAGCGCGGAAAACCATTCCCAGATATCTATCTTGCTGTTGCAAGTGATCTTGGCGTAAAACCAGAGGAATGCTTAGTCTTTGAAGATATTCCAAACGGCATCTTAGCTGGAAAGAATGCTGGCATGAGAGTTTGTGCTATTTATGATGAAGATGCAAAGAAATCCACAGACCAAATCAAAGAATTGGCAGATTACTACATCACATCATTCAAGCAAGTCTTAGACAATACCTACGAAGTTCTCAAACATTAATTATTAGCGAATTATACTAGAGAATTATATATATATTAAAGACTTTTATTATTTTTACTTCGAACATGTTTTAATCTCATATAACCATATAAATTATTTAACTTATTGCATCGAAATTAAAACAAAATTTCAAAATTTTCACATCAATTTCCTACATAAAGTCTCCTAATGGTACTCCTAACTCAATATTAAGTGAATACATTTCAAAAAAATGAATAAGAGACTTTACGAAGGAGTATAATTTTAAATTCTTCTTGTTATAGAAAATTATTATCCCCGAAAACGCAACACAATTGATAAAGAGCTATTATATGTATAATTTTAAAAAAATTAATAAAAATTCATATAAAATTCAATACAATATTTAATATATAACAAATAAAATACAATTATCCCTTATTTTCTGGGATACTCTCTAAATATTTCTGGATTTTGTTCTTAAGATCAATTGGAATTTCATTTTCATCGAGTTCCAGTGTTTCTGGTCGTGCATTCTGGAACTTATCAGCAAATTCTAGTAATAGTTTCATGTTTTGCTTTAGAGATTGCTCGAACAATTGTTTCCTTTCGATAATTTGTTTTGGTGACTTATTTTGCAGCATCTGAGAGACATCAGAAGGAGGAACACCTCTATATATCTTCTCAAACATTATTCTTAGCTCCTTTTCAGTCCACATCTTTTCATTAACTTTCATAATTTTCCTATTCACGAAATCAATGACATAAAGCAGATAACCAAGTTGGTATTCAGGGAACATTTCTCTTAGTCCCGAATCAACAACACTTATATTCGCAATATTGATCAGAAAAGAGAAATCAACAATTTTGTCATTTGGCACTTTTTCTAAGTGAACTTCCCTTTTTTCTTCAACATTAGAATTTACTGTTTCAGGTTCATCGGAATCAGTTGCTTTATCACTTTTTGGTTTTAGTTTGTTGTACTTTCTTTGAATGTAATAGAACCTAGCTTTGACTACAGGAAGTTGTATCTGAGGGAACAGTTTCGCAGCCATTTCCCAATCAGGTTTTCCTTGTGCTCCACAAGCCAATAACTGTTGGTCATCTTCTTGTGTCCACTTTATTTTATCCTGTGAATTCTGTCTCTTCTTTGGTTCGGGAGTTGAAGAATTCTTTTGTTCAGATGATGGAGATTTCTTTGGTTCTGGTGAATTGGATTTCTTTGGTTCAAGTAAAGGAGATTTCTTAGATTCAGGAGATTTCTTTTGTTCAGGTGAATTAAATTTCTTTGATTCAGAAACATTTTGTTTCTTTAATTCAAATGATGTTGATTTTTTAAGTTCAGGAACGTTTGCTTTCTTATTTTCAGGAGGATTTTGTTTCTTTTGTTCAGAGTTATTTTGCAAAGCAGCTTTTCTTGGAGTTAAAATTGGAGAGTAGTAGTCTTTTTCGGACAAGAATTTCTTGTATTTGTTCATGTTTGTGTGTAAAGATTTCGGAATGTTGTTGAAATCGTTTTTCTTTTCTTTCTGAACACCTTTCGTCTTCATGAAATCGAAGAACTGTTGTATTTCACCATTTTCTTGATGAATAATGTCATAGAGTTCATTTAATCTTTGCTTAATCTCTTCAGGAGTTCTTGTTTCGAACTCTTTAGAGATTTCTTTTTCATTTTTATTCTCTGTTGACATTTGAAGCATCATTTGTTCTTCCATGAAGTTCCATCCTGTTCCAAGTGGATCGTTTTTATCTCTTATTTCTCTGAGAATCCAAATGATCAAGAATATCAAATATCCTTTAGGAAGATCAGGATAAAATGTATGAACAGATCCAATATCTTTCATATTTGTTAAATACAAATGCAAAAACTCTGTCATATCAATTGAATCTTTAGGAACATCGTATTTAGTTCCTTCTTCTTCCTTTTCTTCAAACTCTTCTTCTTCACTAGTTGGCAACAAATAGATATCTGTTCTTGTTCTGTTTAATATTGCTTTAACCAATGATTCGTATTTTTCTCTCAGTTTTTGTGGAGAAATTCTATATTGATTTGCAATTTCTCTGAAAACTGTTGTCTTGTTTTTAGACATTTGAACGTAATCTAATAATGTTTGTTCGCTTTCTGTATTCCATTCATAAGTATCTTCTTCTTCAAAGTATTCTTCCTCTTCTTCATATTCGTCAACATCTTCTTCTTGGAATTCATCTTGTGATTCATCTTTATTATTTTCTTCTTCTGGAAATTCTTCTTCCCCTTCTTCTTCTTTTTCTTGATAATCCTTATCTTGTTTATTATTATTTTCTTCTTCTTGAGAATCTTCTTCTTCAGTTGTTGTTTTATTCTCATTAGTATTAGTTTGTTGATAGAAAATATTTTGTTTGTTTTGTTCGTAAAAGTTATTTTGTTCTGGTTCAGCAGAAACTCCGTTTGATCCTTGGAATGCGTAATCAGATTCAGTCATGTCTGTTGTTGATTCTTGTATTTGTGATTTGTTTTCTAATTGTTGGAGAGCTTCTTTTGCGAAATTAACTGAAGGAGGTTCTCTTTCTTCTTTCTGTTTTTCGAGGTTTTCAGAAACAGTTGTTTGTTTCGTAATATGTAATGCTGAAGAAACTCTTTCTTCTACATCAGGAGTACTCATTTCATACGAACTTTCATGTTCATGTTCTTCTGTTGGAATATGATTTTCGTTTGAATCTTCATCATATTTAACAGAAATTGATTTATTACTGTTATTAATCTTGAAGATATCTTCTGAACTTGTTGAAATTAATTGTGGTTCATCAGATGAATCTTCTTCAGAATATTTAACACTTCCTCTTTTAATTTGAGAAGTAATTGCAAACTTCAAATCATTATCATCATTTTGATATTCATTAACTTTCTTTCTCTTTTCAATTGAACTATCAACATCTTCATCTTCTGTTGGTAACTTTTTTTTAAGTAATTCAATGAAATCATTCTTTTTAGCAGTTGTTGGAGAAACTTCTTGTTCAGAACTATAAGATGAATAATAAGTAGAAGATTTTTCAGAAGATGATGATGTTGAATAATAATAAGAAGAATAAGGTGTTTCACTTTCTGATTCGCTTTCTTCTTCAACTTTTTTAGAATTACTTTTTCTATATTTTCCATTTGCTTTATTAATTCTGTATGTTTTAACAGCTTGATCTAGATAATCAGGAAGTCCTAAATCATTGTATCTGCATTTCGTGAATGAGCCAGGAGGAAATTCCAAATTAAACTCTTTAAATGTTTGAATGAAATTCATCAGCCATGAATTCAAAATTACTTTTCTTTTGTTTATATCTGCCATAGTAAACATTCCAAGAACATCACAAATGTATTGTGGATTTGTTCCATTGTTTGCTAATTCCAAAACAATTCTATCTTGTCTTTCAGTGAATTTAACTTTTCCTCTTTTTCCATTAAATATTCTCATCATTCTTGTGAAAACAAATGTGAAATATCCTTGTGATAAATCAGGATATTTAATTATTAATTCATCAAAACTATTGTTTTTGTAGAAAATACTCAAAACATCAGAAATATCTAAACAAAAATTAGGATTTGGAGGAATTTTGTACAAATTTGGACAAAATTCTGGATATAAAGGTTCAGGAATTTTGAGTTCATTTAGATTACCAAGTTTGTAGTTTTCTATCATTGTTTGGAATTTCTGTGACAATGTTTTAGAAGAAGAATCATTATAAATCTTTTGTACTCTTTCCCAACAATCAGAATATTTCTTGTTTTCACCTACAATGTTGATGAATTTTTGGTAATCGAAACCTTTTTCAAGTTGAATTCCTTCTAAATCTTTAGAAATAATATCAAAGAATTCAGACAAAGCAAAATTCAAAGCTAAAGGAATATCATTTTCATCAATTTCATTGGATTCAAATGAATTATTTGCCAATAACTGAACAAATTTCATCAAAGAGTTTTTTGTAACATTTAACAATTCTTTTGTTTCATTAGTACGATTTTCAACATCTTTTTCTGTTTTTCCTTTAAGATACATCTTAAGTAATGATTTCTTTGTGAAATAAGCTTCAAAATACAATCTATCTTCTTGCAAAGTAAAATTATTTTCTTTTTTCAAAAATTTTCTGACAATGAAATTTAAAATGTAAAATAAATATCCTTTCGTGAATTCCTTGAATGATTCCTGGAGTTTATCCATATCTCCATTGAATTCGAAGTATTTCGTAATCAGATTTCCTATTGGAATAACTTTTGTTGGCTTTGAAATTTCGAAATTTGTTGTTTTTCCTTCATATTCATTTAGCAACAGTTCAGGAACATTTACTGATTTCAATGACCCATTTCTATATTTCATCATGATATCTCTATAATGTTTTGCAATCTCTCCTGATGGTTTTTCTGGGAAATACACAGAAATGATATCAAATTTGTTCGGATTATCAAAATATTCATAAGCTTTATCAATAATTAATTGATTTTCTTCTTGTGTATAAACTGCATTAAAAGGTAATTGTTTTGCGTCTTCGTTATCATCTATTTTTTCTCTTGCATAGTCAATCAATTCATCTAAATAAGAAGGAACAAAATAAGCATTCAATTTTGGAGGATTTTCAAATTTGAATGATTTACAAGCTCTCAAAATTTTTCCAATTATTTGAACTTTAGAAGTTGTTCTTTGAATATAAGATCTTCTATTTGCAACTGATTTCATAGTCTTTGATGGATTGTATTTTGGATAATTCTTTATTATGTCATCGTTATAAATCATTTCCAACAAAATTCTGTCCTCCAAAGGTGTCCAATCTCTATATGTCGGCTTTTTCACGTATTTCTTGTTGTATTTAACAATCATGTAAATTGCTAAATACGCTAAATATCCAACATTAAATCTCTCAAAATTTTCTTGGACTTTGTACAAATCATAATTATAATAAGTATATAACTCAAGAAATCTCGCAACATTGATGATTTCTCCTTTAGGAAGTTCACTGAATTCATATGTAAATTTACCATCAAAAGGCTTCAAAAATTCTTTGAGTTTGTCTGGAATTTTTATGTCACTTTTTTGTCCACATCTTATATCACAACATAATTCTTCGAAACGCGATGTAACACTGTGTACTGTCATTGTTAGATGTTTCTCTACAATCTTTTCTGCATCAACTTCTTCTCCATTGAAAAATTGACTGCAAAGATCAAGAAATTTTTGATCAGTGTCAATTCTTTCTGAATTTTCTTCTTTTTTCGGAACATTGTTTATAGATTTAACTGCAGAAACAACGTAAGGATTACTCATGAATGTTGCTGGTAATTTCAATCCATGGTTTTGATTAGTGATGATTCTTTTCACAACTTCTTTAAATCTATCATAGCATTCCTGTATTGATTTTGTTGATAAATATCCAGAAACTGTTGAAAAAGGTGTTTTCGGATTTTGTGAAACAATATCTATCATAAACTGATCTTCTTCTAATGTCCATTCTTCATCATTATTATTAACTTTATGCCGCTTCCTTTCTTTCCCTGAATTTTCTGAATTTTTCTCTTTTGTATTTTTTTGTAAATTTTCAGAATTTTGAATTTTTTGTAAAGTTTGTAAAGTTTGTAAATTTTGTGTAGATTGTTTTTGTTGATTAGGAGTGAAAGAAATTATTGGTGTAATGAAAGGTTCTGATGGTTTTTGTTGAGGAGGTTGTTTTTGTTTTTGTTGTTGTTGTGTATTTGTTTCTATTTGTTGTTTTTCGAAATTTATCATTTCATCAATTGATTTCAAGTAATCTATTGTTGTATCAACAAATTGCAGTTTGATTGGAGGATGTTTGAGTCTTTTAGAATCAATTATTGCCATCAATTTTGGATTTTTAATAATAGAATCAAGAAAAGAAGGTAAATAAATTGGAATTCCATTTGAATTCACTGATAAATCAGATATATCTATTGTTTCTGGTATAATTTCAGGTAGTTTATCATAAATTGGATGTGAAACTAAAATAAAATGAATTGTTGATTTTGCATTTTGAATGTTTTCTTCTGTTTTCTGTTTTCCAAACATCTTTATCATCCTTTGCATAAATCTTATACTGTTATTACTGCTGTACATGTAATCTGTCAAAATTTGAAGTTCAATTTCACTCCAATTTTCTAAATTTGGCAAATTTGTTAATTTTTGGACAATTAAATATAAAATAAATGCTAAATATCCTTGTGAAAATTCTGGAAATCTGTTTCTTTGTAATTCAGAAATATTTCTTTGAAATTCAACAAAATATTTAACAAGGAGGCCAACATTTATTGCCTTCTGTGGTATCTTGTCGATTATATTGTCTTGGTTGGTATTTTGTGGTTTTAATGAATCAGGAATTATAAAATTTGTTGATCTTTTGTTTTTAATGTCATCAAGCATCGAAAAAATGGCTCTCTTAAGAACTAGATCGGAAAATGTGGGAAACTGGTCGCGTAGAATTCGCCAAACTTCAGGTGAATTTCGATTTTCATTGTATGCGTTAATAAGGTCTTGGTTTAATGATGTATCCCATGTTAATGATAAACTTGGTATTAATTTGATATTATTGAAGATATTTTTCTGATTTTTCACGAAATTTTCTGAAATTTTGAGTTTTTCTTCATTTGTTTTGGCTTGACTTGAATTATCACTGTCTGTATTATTGGTATTTTCAGTTGTTAAAGGTAGAATTCTCGCTGTATTCAACAAAATCGACAAAGCTTTTTGTTGGTCGAAGTTTGTTCTTTGTAGAGCTTCGGTAACTTGGGTTTCTGGGAACCCAAGATTTGTTAGGAAATCAACTTGAGATAAATTCTCTTTTTGAAAAAAATTAATTTTTGATTTTGAAGGATTTTCTGCAATAGTGCAGCTAATTGTATTATCATTTTCGGATATGTTGTTTTGGCAAACAATATGATCATTTAATTCGGTTGACTCTTTATATATATGTAAATTTTGAATGGGAATCTGAAGAATTTCGGATAATACGTGTTTCACTCCAAATATAGTGGTAAATTTGTCTACTAAAACAAAGCAAACCCTATTATATGGAGCTCCAACTTTGATCCTCATTGTCACTTTTTTGTCCATCAAAAAAACATTGATTTCGGGTTTGATAGTGAAATCATATAATATATCTTATCAGAAATGCATTTTATCAAGTCAATTGAAGAAATTTTATATAAAATTTGAGATGATTTTGTGATCATCATTTTTTATAAAGTTCTATCACCTCATGAATACCAAAATTCAAAGAGTTGCAGTACAACCAATTGAAACAATCTTAAAATAGCTTTTATTAATCTCAAAGAAATCCCTAATATTTTGAAGATAATATTATTTGTACAATCAACCAATTACCTTTACCTCGATGCAAATGATTTTGTTGATTGCGAGTTTTATTTATTACTCGGAAAATATCTTTAATATTTTATTCAAACACTGGTAAATATATTTAATTGCAATAAGAGAGCTAGATTATAAATTTATTCAGAATAATTTTGAATATTTTGTATTGATTTCATCAATTACCATGCTTGATTGTCTCTCTATCAACAGTTTTTCTAGTTGCATACAGTATATGAGCAAATCAAAAGTTATAAGGTAAAACATGTGACTTTTAAATCTAAAAATAATAATTGGACATATGACATTTTGGGAGTTATGAATAGTATTACTCATGTCGCGTGTAATTAATGTTCAGCTTTCGAACCCTCAACTGCACAAAAAATATTATATATATCGAAAATTGATTGCAATAGTTTATGGTAGAAAAGAGAATAAAGCTTATAGCACTCTGCATATCGAAAACAAAATTTGAATGTCATCTATTGACACTGTAAAAAATAAATTTCGAAACTTAGAAAAAAAATCATAAAAGATTAAAAATTAGGCTTTAAAATGAACAAAATAAATGGATTTATAAACCATGAGGCTATCCGATTCTTTCGAAAATTGTGAGAAAAGGAACTTTTTAATTGAGTAGTTATTGAATTAATTTATTTTAAAATTATTATCAATCTTCGTGTATCTTAAAATTTAATTTAAATTATTTGAAATTGTCAAAAATTTATAATCCAAAATTATATAAATTATTATGAAATGTGGAATATATTTTTCGATCAAAACGATTAATTGCTTTTCTGAAGATGATGTAAAATAACCGCTAATAGTCGAAAAGTATGATAAATGTAGTCACTGCATGCATTTTAAGTATTTCACGATAAAATTCTGTTATTAAATTGAATGGAATTGACAAATTCAATTCTTTGGGAAACTCGAAGTAATTAAATTTATCATTTTATTGCATATACAAAATATTGGCAGATCTGACTTCAATTTTATTGTTTGAAAAGTGACTTCATATAAAGGTATATTCACTAGGCGATAACAGTAAAATGGGATGAAAATAGGATAAATAACATCCCTATATAGTGCCTAACAATATTTATACGGGCCAAAAAAATTGGGCTAGAGATTTGGCGAGTTATAAAACTTAGAAAATTGAGAGGGATTTTTATTTTTGAATTTTTTTTGGAAAGTTAAAATTGCGATTAAAAATCGATTTCCAGGAGAACTAAGCATATCATCATATATTTAAATCGATAAAAATATTAAATAATAGTTGAATAGTATAACAACGTGAAATTATGGCTGAATCTACAGAAAAAATGAACATATTTGACATTTTTGAAAATTCATACGTTAGATGGTGACAGACTCATAAACTATACTTTAGCTAAGATTGATATATGGTTTCAACAACACATGGTTAAAATCGTAAAAATATTTTAGATTTCAAAAAGATATATATGGTAATATAATGGAACAAAGTCAACAAATAGCATGTTAAATATGTTATAATTAACTTTTTATTAGATCCAATAGTAGATATCGAATGGTTTCCAGCTTTATGGTTAAATATTTTCTTTTCGAGCTTCTCTTTAACTGTTGTATTAAGGTTATAAATTTTTGATGCTAGAAACTATGGAATCTTCTTTGCTGCTGCATTTTTCTTGAGAGTTCTTGCAATTTCGAATAGATCTGCGCATTGTATGAAATGGAGGCTTTAAAATATCTTGAAAACAGAATAGGACTGCTTTTCCAAAGGAATGCTTACTTGTAAATCAGAGAGTTTCAAAATTGAGAGCAAGGTTATCATCATAACTTTCGATTTTGCTGCGAAAAAGGAAGACAAGTAATTAACAAATCATTTACTGTTGTTCATCAAAAGAAGAAAACTTTGATAACAACTAATGATGATAAAATCAAGCTATCTTTTCATATTTTAAATTGATAAGACATTCAAAATATTTGAATGGTTCAAAATATTTTCTTTTAATTTCTATAAGATATTATCATGATTATATAATAAAATTTAAATTTTTATTCAAAAAGGCAATATTTCAAACTTTTAATTTCAAAAATCTTAATTCTGCAATTAGTGTATTTAATTGTAGCAAATTTAATGATCCTTCGTCATGCTTAGCAATTTGGAACTCATAAATTAATGATTTCTTCAAGTAAAATTCTGCATTATTTCAAAAGTCAATAATTCTCTAGTAACTTTTCTTCAAACCCTAACCATTATATTATATGTATAATGGAGAATAATTGCAAAGAAAGATAGCCGAATTTACTGGGTAGTTCTTGTGATGCGAAATAATTGCAAATTAACACCTAGTTTTAACAGCATCAATCTCTTTTTGCTCTCATTTAAATGCATTCGCACACTTTAATTTTGAAATATAAGAGTTTTGGAAATTATCAAATTTATCTGCTCAAATACTATAGATCTTCATAAGTGTTAATAGAATCATTAGCCTTACATATAGTATTTAATATAATGATGCACATTATACTGGGATTCATTCCTTATTCATCTAGTTATTATAAGATTTACAACCCCATGAAAATTTAAAATTTTGTCAAAAATAGTGAATGTACCTTTCTTCATATCAAATTATACGATGCTCGATTAATTTATCCATAGTATAATTCGTGTTTTCATTTTTCTAAGATTGCAAAATTAAGGGTGGCTTCCGACCAAATTGTCACTTTTTAGCCCAAGTGAGAAAATTTCGTAATTTATAACCAAGTTTTTTAAAATCTATATTTAATAAAGATTCTATTTTTCTTATTAAATTTCAAAAATGAGGGGGTTCGGAATCGTCCACAAATTGCCGAAAGGGTTTTTGCCAGTTTTGAATCCGCTTATTTTTATCGACCAAAATTATAATAAATATAATTTTCGATAAGTATTCTACCCAAATGATTCTTCAAAAAATTATTTTTCGGATTTCATTCCGTAAAAAAAACGTTACAGAAAACGCCTATAAAATTTCGAATTTTCCCTAAAAAATTCAGTGCAGGTCGATTTAAGAGATTTTTCAAAAATAATCATATCAGTAGATAGGGTATAATATAGAGGAGCTTTATGAATAACTCAAAATCCGGGAAACTCAATATTCAACGAGAAAAACGCTTAACGAATCTCACTTTTGGTGTAAACATCACAAAAAATTGAGAGAGCTTTCTGGTCGGAAGCCTCCCTTCAGAATATTATTGAAATCAATCTTATGTCTGAATCTCCAGTCCTTGCTGGAACCTTAAAAAGGAGGTCTGGAAAGGTCAGTATGTGGAGGCAAGTAAAATGCGAACTGTACCCTGGTAAAATGGTCTTTAAACACAAGAGTACTGGCGATATTGCAGAAATTCTGAAATTAAATTCCATGACTACGATCCTAAGAGAAGAAGGGGATTCTCATAATACTTTTATTGTTAAGGATAGCAATGAGACATTGGAACTTGCGGCTGATTCCTCCGAATCATTGCAAAATTGGATTAAAAAATTTAAAGAGTTGACTCTGCATCAGAAATCTTTATCGATCAGTGACTTTAGGATTATTAGAACACTTGGTTCTGGCTTTTATGGCAAAGTACTTTTGGCTGAACACAAGCAATCGAAGAAAATATATGCAATCAAATCGATTCATAAGTCCAGACTTGTAAATGATGATAAGATTAACACTATTTTCTCTGAAAGAAACATTCTTCTCCTTTCTCAACATCCATTTATTGTCGGAATTAAGTTTTCGTTCCAGAATGACAAGAAATTTTATCTTGGCCTTGAATATGTCTCTGGTGGTGAATTGTTTAAGTTAATTGAAACTGGCCATTGCGTTCCATTTCAACAAGTCCGGTTTTATGTCATGGAAGTTGCGCTAGCTCTTGATTATCTTCATTCTATAGGTGTAATCTATAGAGATCTCAAGCTAGAAAATGTTCTAATGACTAAAAGTGGCCACATTAAGCTTACCGATTTCGGCTTGTCGAAAATTGTTGCTGATGGAAAGGCAGACAATAGCACAACGTCAACATTTTGTGGAACACCCGAGTATCTCGCTCCAGAGATGATTTTATCCAAAGATTACGGTATTGAAATCGATTGGTGGGCTCTTGGAGTATTTACGTACGAATTTTCCTATACAATTACTCCATTTGTCGGAAAGACTAACAAAAAGACTTATGACAACATTCTACATGAAGAACCGAAATTCCCACCGAATGCTGATCCAAATTTGGTCAGTTTCATCATGATGTGCTTGAGAAAGGACCCAACTAAGCGTGCCACCTTCAAGGATATCAAGAAACACCCATTCTTCGAAGGAATTAGTTGGGATGATGTCCTCAACAAGAAGATTACACCACCAAGGAAGCCAAAAGCAAAGCCTGCTACGTCTAGGCTTTCTAAGAAGCGTAGACGTACAGAGTCCGATGCTACTTTTGTTCCTCACCAAAATGCATTTGATGGATTTTCATTTGCTGGTGAGATTTGGTTTCAATTTTGTTTGATTAAATATTTATATGTGCGAAAATTCATTGTTTTTTATAATTTTCGAAATTTTTCAGATTTTGATTGGCAATTGCTTTGAACTACTATTAAATCTAATAGGTCATGTGTAGTTTAAGCATATTTAATAGGAGGAAGTATCCAATGTTCAAAAGACGAAAATATTATTTTTTATTTCTTTGTAATTTGGTAAGGTTTGCTTTGTGAATAAGATGCTTAGTTGATGTCATTTGCATTATATTTGCTTATTTTCATTTTTAGTATTCTGAGTATCAGAGGAAGTTCCTCGAAGACGTAAATGGAAACTTTAGTTCAGTATGCGAATGAATCATCGATCCCTTCGCTTGTTAATGCGATTATAATAGATGATGTAAAGGCATTTCATCTAGTTTTATCCAGTTTAAAAGATGCTGACAAACTTGAGATCACATTTAAACAAAATCCTAACTTTCCTCTTGAAGTTCTTGCATCAAAACCTCCAATCATTTGTGTTTGTGCACTTTTTGGAGCTATTCAATGCTTAACTTATTTAAAATTCCTTAAATGGAACATAAACACACAAGATTCCAAGAAAAAAACACCTATCATGTTCTCAATAGCCGGTGGACGCCATGATGTATTCGAATATCTCATCAAACTCGGAGCAGATACAAATAATACCGATTTTTATGGGGCAAACATACTCCATTATGCAGTCAAATACAATATTTTGTCAATAACACAATACATTGTTGAGAATAATCTTGTTGATATTAACAAACAAACTACTCGTGGCGCATCTCCTTTGATGTGGTGTGCGCAATTCGGAGATCCATCTACAATGGACTACCTTACTAACCATGGAAGTGATCCAAACATGAAAACATCAGGAGGATGGGGTCTAATCCACTATGCAGCATCAACTAATAATATTGAGAATTTAAAGTACTTGATTTCAAAAGGTTTTGATGTAAATCAACAAATAAATAACCATTCAACACCTTTGTCTATGGCAATTAGAGAAAACTCGCTTGAAAGTGTGATAATTTTGATAGAAAACGGAGCATCGCTGAAATTAGAAGAAAATAATGTTGATTCGATATTTTCATATGCAGCAATTAATAATAACACAGAAATGATGAATCTTCTTCTTGAAAAAACTGAAATTGAAGTTACAATTAAAGATATCATTCAAATATTTGATTATTTATGTCAAAAACAGACAATAATAGCTAACAAATCCAATAAAAAGGATCCAAAACCTTCTGTTGAGACTTTGTCTAATCTTTTTTCTCTAATTGTTTCAAAATTTACAAATGAAGAAATCAAACAAATAGAACTAGAGAAATACATTTATTCTTTAATTGTTAGGAAGTTAGACATGCAACTAATAACTTTATTCGCTGATTTCTTTGATATTAATTGGGATTTCCAAAATCCCGATGATACAAGTAAATCATTTTTCCTTTGTGCAGCAATTGTAGAATACTTAGATTGTATGGACTTCTTGAAGTCAAAGGGTTGTAATATTTATAGGAAAGATTGCTATGGAGTTAATGCTGTGTCTCATGCTCAGCAGAATGCAAAAGAAAAAGTGAAAGCAAAACTAAGAAACTATGGTGTTCCCTTCTAAAATATTTAACTATGTGTGTTAAAACATTTTTTTTTAATATTCATCTTATATAGTAAAGAGATAAAACTTTTTTGTCTTCATCATTTCATATTAATATGTTGTTATAATAAAATGTTATGAGTCATTCTTTTGATAGGAGATACAACAAGTGATCAGACTAAATATAAAAAAATCAAGACTAGAAGATTGTCAAATCTCATTACACGGAATATTACAAATATCAAAACAAACGCCTTTACAATATATATACATTCCCATCTAGTATATTGTAATAGTATAAATCATTAAATGTTCCGATCTTATTATCAAAACATTAAGATAATATAAAAAACATCTTTTTTATGGATACATTTCTGTAATTAAATGCACTAAAAAAGAAAAGCACTCAAAGCTTAGTAGCTGATTCGTTAATTGTAGTTTGAAATGATGGAATCTGTTAATATATTAAACTAGCATCATGGTAAAATATAAGCATTGTCTCTAACTCAGTTATGCTTTTAAAAAACAATAATGATTGATTTTAGCAAACATTCAAACAATCTATACATAACATTTATTTAAAAACAACAAAAAAAAATAAATAAAACTAGTCTGGAAGTATTATTGTCATATGTCTATGCAGCATCTTGTTGCACTTTATCATTGTCTTCAATTCGAGTGCCTGAGCTTCATTTTCAACATTTTTCTTTCTTGATTTCGTTTTAACTGTTTCTAATTTGTTAGAAATCAAATCTTTCTCTTTAGTAGTCGCTGCATTCGATGCTTTGACGTATTCCATCTCTGAATTAACTCTTTTGAACAAATCCATCAAAGTTGTCTTCGAATTCGACTTAAAATAGCCTAATCCGCCTGTATTTGCAATTACTTCGTTATTTAGAGAGTGGAACCACTTGAAAGCAAATACAACTGATAGAATTACATCTCTGAGTTTGATATCTCTGTTCATTTTGATTTGTTTGTGAAGTGAATTAAATTCTTCAACAAAAACCTTCATTAGATCAATTCTCTGTCTGTTAATGCTAGAGCATGATGATATGGAGTCAAGAGCATTAAGTTTATTAGTAGCATGGGCAGCAATTTGTCGATCTTTATTTGCAGTAATTTCAAGAACGGATTTATCGTTTTTAAGTTGATCAATTAATGATGTAAGTGAAGATATTTGATTGGTTTTCTGTATTACGTCATTTGAAAGGTCTGTATTGTTTTTACGTAATAAATTTAATTGATTCTCAAGATTTTTGACTTTTTCTTCACATAGTTGAGGATTTCCTAGATGTAACTCTGATTTAGTCTGTTCTTCAAGAACTTTGGACTGTAAATCAGCAACTTGTCCATCATATTTTTTAGTAATATCAATTATCTGTTGTCGTAATGATGAAATGAGTGCACTATCACCATCTAAACGTCCTTTAACGACTTCTATGCGCTTATTTGCAATTTCATTTTGACTTTGAACATGGCCCATTAATTCTTCATTTTGACGACTTAAACGCCTATTTTCTGCATCAATGACTTCTTGGGCCACTTGTAATGCAACATTTTCCGCTCGTAATTTTTCTATATCGGAGTTATATTGTTCTAGAGATTCTTTTTGCTCTTTTTCGTGATCAGAAACTGTTTGTTGAAGCTTAATCTCATATTGTTTAATGGTTTTGTTCTTTTCACTTGTCAATTCAAAAATTTTTTTTCTTAATTCAGATTCGATTGATTTTAAACTTTCAATTTGAGATAATAGTTCATTTTTCTGGAATGAAAACTCTGTGGCTTGTAATTCTAATTGTTCTGTTGTCATTTTAAGCTGAGTTTGTAATTCAATGCATTTTTCTTTGATGCGCAAGTTCTGATCAACTTTATTTTTATATTCGCTAAGTACCGATGATGACTTATCAACCCCTTGACTAATCTCATGAGCTTTTATTAAGCTCTGGCTCAGTCCAGAAGGTTTCATTGACGTTTATTTTTTCAATCAAAATTATTGGCGCTACACACCGATAAAATGCAAAATACTCGATTCCTACTTTCATAATATAGAAAAATAAATAGATGTTACCATATAGAACCCATATATCTCCGAAATTGAATATCGAACGACCGAGAGAGATATATGGGTTCCAAATGGTAACATAAGTTATTCTTGATTTGATTTTTAATTTATTCATCAGTGTTACAATGTTTATTCAGGATTAATCTTTTTCATTGACATTTGCACCATGAGAGATAAGTAGTTCAGTTATTTCTTTGTTATTATATTTTCCTGCATAACCAAGAACAGTTCTTCCATGTTCATTTTTTTTTCATTGATATTTGAACCTTGTAAAATAAGATGTTCGTATGGTTCTTTCCTTTATCCAATCACTGCGATATGTTGAGAGGTTCATCCATTATTATCTTTTTAGTTAGTATTTACACAGTGCTATTAAGAAGTTGTGCGACTTATTGATATTTGAATCATTTGAAATCAGAAGCTTTGCTACTTCTTTACAATTATTACTCGCTGCTTTATGAAGAGCAGTTTCTCCATGATTATCTGTCATTACATGATGATCATTAATTCTGAGTTGCATACGAATTAAATATGACTTTATCAAGCAGTTATTGTACATAACGATGTTTAACATGTAATTTTACATTATATTTGTGTATGTGTTTCTTTGAATAGATCAATTCTGTTTTTACCGCTTAGATGAATGTTTTGATCAGACATTAAACAATTTAAAAGTCATTTGTTTGTATTCCACCATACAAAATATCTTTGTAGTTCTTTTTGGAAAGATATCGTAAATATCTTTCTAAGATATCGGTGAATGAATTATGAATTTTGATTAAGTATATAGACATAAAATGACACAGCATCGAATCCAAAGCAAAATATATTCTCAAACCGATCAATAAAATAATCGACACCAAGAAAATAAAATTATCATCATTCTTACACTTTTTGAATGGAATTCAAAAAGTGAAAGAATGATGTCATTCTATTTCAAAAGGTGTATTTTTGTGAAAAAACACTTGAAAGAATTTCAATGTGCTCACAAAAATATACGTTTTTGTAATAAAATTTTTTAAATTCTGGGACTTTTTATTTTAACTAATATTTTGGAAATAAAAATGAAAGTATAATTCCCGATTTTTCTTTTTCTAAGATACCGATCATGTTTTGAAGGGATGCTTTGGCATAAAATTAATTTCTTGGGAAATTTTGCATAGGATATCGATTTCTGAAAAATAGTTGTAGGGGAGATTTATTTCGAGAATAATCGAATTCTCTATGCAGCTGATAGTTGCATTGAGGTTCACCTTAAAGTTGAATGTGAAATTATTTATGGAGATGAAACTAATTTTGCTTTCAAAGAGAGCCAAACAACTCTTGTGTCTATCACATTCCCGCAGCAATCAAAACTTAAAAATATTGGCATGCGTGCTTTTGAAAGTTGTGGGAAACTTCAAACGATTAATTTCACAAACTGTGAAAATCTTACTCAAATACAAACCAGAGCATTTTCTGGCTGCCATTTGCTATCTGATATTATTCTTCCTAAAAATCTCAAAGAAATATCAAACAGCGCATTTTCGGGTTGTCATTCATTGTCTACAATTTGTATTCCAGATGAAGTTATATCTTTAGGAGAATATTGTTTTGCTAAATCATATTCTTTAAGTTCAATAACTATCAGTCCTAATTCCAAACTTGAAATTATAGCTGCATATGTTTTTATGGAAACCCCATTAAAACAGATTTTTCTTCCAAAGAATCTAAGAAGTATTACTCACGAAACCTTTAAAGATTGTAGAACCATAGAATTTATAGAATGTGATGCTCAAAGTACTAATTATTTTGCAGAAGATAATGTTTTATATAATAAGCAAAAGACTATAATTATTATATTCCCATACAATAATGTTACTTCATTTAGGATGCCAGACACTGTAACAGTTATTGGAGATAATGCATTTGTTTATTCATTGTTAGAAGAAATAACATTCAGTCCGGTATTAAATTTGATACAGGTAAATGCTTTCGCATATTCACATTTGAAGTCATTTACAATTCCGGATTCTGTTACAATGATTTATGGTTGGGCGTTTTATAATTGTAAATATCTTGATACAGTCATTCTTGGAAAAAATCTCACAATTATTCCAAACTCTTGCTTTGCATATTCAAATATTTCTCAAATAACAATTCAAGAAGGTGTTAAAACAATTGAGTCGTGTGCATTTTTTAAATGCATAAATCTTAAGAGTGCAATAATACCAAATAGTGTTCAAAACTTTGGAGGTTCGTGCTTTCCAAACGATATAAATCTCACATTACCTCCAAATTCCCAGTTTTGGTTTGATCATCAAAATATTCTTTATAACTCAAATAGAGATACAATTATCTTGTGTTTGAGTTTAAATGAAAGATATGACATTCCTGATAATGTCACTGAAATAACCCAAGCAGCTTTTCGTGGAATTACGGAATTGATTACAATTAATTTCCTTCCAAATTCCAAATTAATTTGGATTGGGGATGGGGCTTTTCGTGATTGCATTAATCTCCAGTATATTAATCTCCCGAATTCTATAAAATCAATAGGTGGCGATGCCTTTAGTGGATGTCATAAGTTCAATTTAACAGAGTTTCCTGAATCATTGACTTTTATAGGGAACAGTGCATTCATAGGATGTGATTTACTAACTGAGATTCATTTTAAAATCAACCTAATAAAAATTGATAATTATGCTTTCATGACTGTACAATCATTAGAAACAGTACTTTTTGAATCAAGCCCCACTACATTAAATCATGGGGTTTTTGCACATTGCAAAAAACTCAAAACAATCAAGTTAAGTGATAAAACTACTACTATATACAATTCTGTCTTCGATAATTGTTTTTCATTGAAATCAATTGAACTTCCTCCATCATTAACAACTCTTGGAGGATCCGTCTTTTACTATTCTGGTGTTGAAAACATAACATTTGTGGGAAATCCACCAATTGAAACTATAAGGACATTAACTTTTGATTGTGCAACAAAATTACGCAATATCATTCTTTCAGATTGCATCAAAGAAATAAAAGCCAACGCTTTTCAATATACTAACATTACAACATTTAGAGTACCAAATCAAACAATAGTCATATCAGAATATGCATTCAGTCAATGTACAAATTTAGAACGATTTATTATTCCTGAAAATTGCTCATTGCAAAGTCTTGGATATTCAGCATTCGAGGGTTGTAAGTCATTGAGAGCATTCGAATGCCATGATAGTGAATACTTTTCAGTGATCAATGGTGTTCTTTTTGATAAGAACAAAACTTCATTGGTTTGCTTCCCTCCTGCATCTGAACTCATGTACTTCTATATTCCTGAAACAGTTCACAACATATCTGGTGGTGCATTTCTTGAATGTAGAAACCTAATTAATATTCTCATTCCCGATTATTCTGTGCAAACAATTGGGCGTTATGCATTTGCAGATTGTGTTTCGTTAACACATATCAATCTTCCAATTTGCGTTACTGAAATTGGATCACATGCATTCGCAAATTGTTACAAACTTAAATGTGGTGTAGATATACAGAATCGAACTCAATCTTATCTCGATAACCTTTTCCAACTTGCATTTCTTAATAAAGAAGCAGTTGTTGAGTGTCACAAATTAACCTGCAAAAAACAGATGAATCCTAGTTATTTGAAATCCTTGACAATTATTGGGATCATTGATGAAAAATTTCTAGGATTATTATAAAAATTCAATTTTATTTTTAAATTTCAATTTTTTTAATATAGAGTCATTTACATCTTAACCTGCATTGATGCATGGTTAAATTTATCCTGTAATTTAGCTATCTTTATGTTCTGATTACTTCCTAAGTAAATCAAGCTATAAATTTGAGATATGAATTGTTTACACTTTAAAATCAGTTGATATTCTTGAGAACATCAGTCTTTCATATCCTGTTATGGTTGAATTCAACCATGTTTCAAAAAACTTGAGTTTATTTTACTGATTGATAAAAAAATTTTCTTTTTTATTTTTGGTTTATTGTTTTTGGGATTCATTTATTAACAACATCCTATTAGGTGATACTCCAATGGATTATTAATATATAAAAGAAATTGATTTCGAAAAAAATACGTTGCTGCCTTGACATATGGGCGATTTTTCGTTATGGAAACTAAAAAGATGGTCTAATTTAGAGATTATTATGATAATTTTCCTTTTAAATTTTTTATGAGTGATGATGATAATGGTAAGAAAAAGAAATTATTAACACCAGATGTTGAAAATCAGGTTAAAATTCTCGAAGTACAAGAGAGTGATATGATTATTCCTTTCAGATTCGATGGTTACGATTCAGTCATCTTGATGTTTCTAATTTTTTTGGGAATATTCAACAGATTTTGGTTGCTTTGGAGTCCTAGAAATATGGTGACTGAAGACAAAACTTATCTTGATTATATTCATTGTTATGCTAAAAATCAATTCTGCCCAACCACTCAACCACCTCTCGGAGCGATAATGTTGCGATTAATTGGCCAAAGGATGGAATACAATGACTCTTATATGTCTCTAAAACTAAACGAAGAATATCCAACCACAGTTTACCACTCCATTCGATCAATTCCTGCATTTTTCTCTTTCATGTCGATACCAGCTTCTTATTTTGCGATTAGATGTTTTAATATTCCAATACCTTTTGCATTTCTTGGATCAATTTGTTTGATGTGCGAACATTCTCTTGTTGCATCATCTCGCTATATCGGTGATAGAGGTATTTGTCACTTTATGGTTACTGCAACTCTTATGTTTTGCTCATTTTCAATGCATTTCAAAACAGATTCTCCTTCCCAATACATTCTTCTAATAGCTCAAATGATATTTACAGGGTGTTCCATATCTATATCATGGTTAGCCCTTCCTATTTACGCTTTCACCATCTTTTGGACTATTTCCAAATCAAAAAGCCTGAAAACAAGAATATATTCTGTATTGATACCGTTACTCATAGTTTACTTTTCATTTTTAGTCAGTTTACTCATGGGATTCAAGAAAAACCCAACATATGAAAAATATTCTTCTTTCATCTCTAAACACCAAACAGATTCTAATGTAATACACCTCAGTGGATGGCATTTAGTTGCATCCCTGATAATGATGCTCAAAACCGGTTTTTCATGCCTCAAATCCCTTATTCACACAAAAATTTTCTTGTTTTTGTCAAAATTGTTTTACTTAGAAAAATGGAAAGTTGTCTGGCAAGAAAACGAAAGACGAGCTGCTTGTTTCACGAATAGGTTCACAACTATACCAGCCCTTGTATATAATGTGTTATTTGCTTACGAATCAATCAGAAAAAGGTCATTTAATAGTCAATCTTTGATTGCTTTTCTTTTTGTTATTTCTCATCTATTTTATGCGCTTTCTGATACAAACAATGGTCCATTGGACTCATATGTATCTATAATAACATGTTTCATATGTTTCCCTCTTAGTATTAACAATTTAATGAGACAATCTTCAGGATATTTCTTCTGTGTATCAATGATTGTCATTTCTATTATTTCCTTCATAGATTTATGCACCCTTGTATACGCGTACTTTGATCCTGCACCTGTTCTTCCAATCTGGTTCGCAAGATAAATTTATATATTGTCATATTTTGCAAAATAAATGTAAAATATTATTTATATATGACTTGAATATTTTTATTTCTTATAGTTGACTAAGAGTGATTGATTTTGATCAATTTCCATTTTTATTCCTTAGAATCATCTCAATTATATTCAAATTTTGAATTTTCACGGCAAAATTTATAAACGAAAATTTTGTATCGGTATTTTCGAAATTAGTAAAATATTATTGTATTACCATTTGCATATGACTACTCGACGATAAAATATTTACACTTTTTTTGATTGAAATAGATCTGAATTTGAAATTGTATTAAAGATGAGCCTACCATCTAATTGGAGCCATCAATTAGCCAGCATCACCAAAGCCCCACTACCGCTCCCCCAGAAGAAAACAAATTCCAAAACTAGTAGAACAACAGGTTCGATAGATCCTATTGATAAAGAATCTATCCCTGTTGAAGGAGGAGCGGCCGCACCAAAACAAATACCTCATCTAAGTAAAATTCCAAGACCACAAGGCAAAGGTATTGCAAGATCAAGCTCAGCTTGTCAAGCTCGTACTTCTTTTAGAAACACAGCCAAAAACATTCTAAGTGCTCAAGCTGCACAACGTGCATTCGAGAATTATACTACAAAACAAACTAATCTCGCGAGAAAAATACTTAATGATGAAGCTAAGTTTGAAAGAAGGCAAAGAACACATTCGCAAATCATAACATCTCCTGTAAGACTACAAGATGCTCAATTCCAAGATAATTTTGTCACAGAAGAAGTTTACAATAACGCAAAGAAGTCAAATAACAACGTGCCAATTCTTCCAAAGTCTAAGCTTCCAAGTGAGCTTTCTTTGAAGGATGCAGATGGTGGAAGAGTATACTACTGGGGATGAAAGTCGTATATTTATATTCTTATTGTTTATTAAAAAAATTGGTTGTTGCTATTCGTACATATGTTTTTGTTGTATTTAGTTGATCTACTATAACACATATATCATTTAGAGTGATGTAAGCAAAAAAAAAATCTTGATTCCATTATAAAAAGATGCGTCTCACTTGTATTAAATATATCTAAAATTTATAAGTCAATAAAAAAGTAATTATTAATGTTAAAATGAGAAAATAAGAAATTAATTGGCATTTTTTTCTGCTCTAAAAGATAATTCATTCTTCCTAGCAACAAATTCAGGCAATGGAGTCACTAAGTTGAGTTTCTCCATAATTTTTTCAATAGGGAAATGATTATTGATCAAATGTTCAACCTGATCAAGAATTCCTGCCTGGAACAATTTCTCGAACTCAAGCTTCTGTTCTTTATCAAGCTTTGCTGCTTCTGTTAAGACGGAGTTTTTAATAAAAGCAGCATCTTTTCTAGTTTCTGGTTTTGTTGCGATGCAGCTCATTACAAGTGACTTTAATTTGTATTCTTTATTATATAACTCTTGATCCTTATCTTCGTTTTTCATTATTTTCTCAATTTCGGATAGTTGATTAATTTGTAACTTTTTAAGGAGTATATTGATATTAATTTTCAATATACTGATGATCTCTGCATCATATAAGTCATTCGGACTGAGATCTTGGAAATCTTCAAAATCTTCTGGGTATCTGCCAACAAGGGATATGATTTCTTTAACATCCTTTTCTGTTTCTTTAATAGGTTTGTCGAGATTTTGTGCAATATGATCTGCATTTACCAAAACGCTATAGATTTTTAACAAATTTACTCAATTGACTTTTCAATTGACTCAGAATTTCTTTTTGAAAGTACTATAATTCAATTTTGCAGGATTTAATTACAGCTTGAGCTGCTTGGTTCGGTTCATTTCCTGTCATTATATAATATATTACACCACCGAGCGCGAAAATATCGGAAGCTGGCGTGTAATCGAGAGATTTAATAACTTCAAGAGAATGATAAAGACCTGTTCCATGGCGCCGAGAAGTTTGCATTGGATTGTCTGTTTTTTGAACATCATCGTAATCGATGATGTGAGGGTAATGTTTTGTATCAATTCGAATATTCTTTGGACAAATATCTCTGTGAATAATTTTATTATTGTGAAGAGTTTCCAATTGATCAGCAATAAAATAAATCCATACTAATTTTTCGGCATCTGAAACTTTGTTTTTTTCCAAATAATAGTATAAATCATCTCCTTTAATGAGCCTAAAATCAACGTAAAGGCTACGGTCATCATTTTTATGAATATCAATGAGTTCCATGAGGAAATTATTCCTTTTTGAAGTGCTGCAGTTTCTCGAATTGAATCGATTACGTCTTTCCTATTATTTGCCACGAAACTTAGTTCCGAGTATATTTTCCGAAGTATTCCTTCATTTTCAAGAACTTCAATTTCAGCATTATTTCCTGTATGATAAGAATTATCCATCTTTAATAAAAATGGAATTATTTTTGTTTTTGACTAAATGAATTCACTTCTTAATTTTTTGACTCCTTCTGATATGATTGCAATCTAGTTTTATACCAATTGAATATATAATTTGTTGACAAACTTCAATTTTCCAAAGTCAACAATCATATTTTCTATTGAAACATCAGATTGTCTTTCTCTTACTATACAAATTGAAATCTAATATCGAATTTCACGCGAAACATATCAAGAACAATACAATTTCAATGAAATCATGTTAAATTTTAAAAAAATATCGGCCATTAAAGGTGTTACATTGAGAGAACTGAAGTGTCTCGTTCCTAAGTTATTACTAGGAATGAACTCTTTGATCAATCTCCCTTTTCTTGATAATATTTTAAAAAAATGTGTAATGTGGCCAAAATATATAGAATTGGATTCTGTATTTCATTATTAATAATCAGATTCATTAATATCCCTTGTTTGAAGAGTGTTTAGATTGGAATTCTCATTTCCTTGTCTGGTTCGGGATTTCTATCATGCACAGCTTATTGAGAAGTTGTTTAATCAAACCTCATAGTTGGAGATGAACTCTTCTGTTTTCGTCCTTCATGTGGGAAAATAATTATAAACGGCAATATTTTGATCAAATTTCCCATTATTTTTGAAATTTGACAATTTCACTGTTTTTGAGTTGTATCGGCATAGTTATGCAATAAAACTTTATATTATAATGTTTTTGTCGTCGATGAAAAATATCTCATCACATCTGAATATGTGATCATGTAAGCATAACCAACGATGATACAACAACTCAAAATAGATATACTAATAGGATATGTTTGATGTCTAATTATATTTAATAAAATATTGATTAATTTTAAGGTCAAATTATGTTATTAAACAAGCACTTCCACTAGGTGGGATATAATTAGGTAAATTGGTTCTGTGTAGAATTCATTAACCATTAAGATGATGCTCATTTTATTATAAAAGATGTCATTTCCCAATGTATTCTTTTTCACCCCTTTTTTATTAGTTTCAGAGGAAAATAAAAAATGGATTTTGATCCTCCGACATTGGATGAGCCAATACGCTCTCTAATGCCGGCACAAATCCAGCAACAACCGCCACCTCCGAAACCCAAGCGGCCGCCAAATGCATATAATTTATACTATCTTGAAATGCAGCCTAAAATGAAAGCTGAAAATCCACTTATAGGAGGTAACGATGTATCAAAACTGATAGGACAACAATGGGGTGCGTTATCTGACGAGCAAAAAAAGCCTTACATTGAAAAAGCAAATGAAATTCGAGAACAATTTCGACGTGAAAATCCAAATTGGCATTATGAAAAGAGTTCTGAAAAGAAGCAATCGAAACGAAATAAGAAAATGACTCTTTCAAACATGTTTTACGATTTTCATGAAACAAATCAACAGCAGCAGTTCGAAAATGAAGCTACTAATAACTTGTTTCTTATAGGAGCTACTGCATTAGCACAATATATATTATCTAGAAAAGATTTACAAGATGATGTTGCGAATTTTATCAAAAATCAAAAAGGTGATGCAAATATATCTTTTGAATCAGATCAACACTTTGATCTTCCTCAATAACTATATAAATATCTGTTTTATTTTATGTATTTTACAAAACAAAAAAAAACACTCTTTATCTTAAGTCATATTAGAAATTAATACTGGAGTTGGTTCTGAATCAAGTCAAAACGTATTGGAATGGCGTGTTTTCGTTATTAGAATGTTCAAAAGCAATAAATAGATATATATTATTTCAATTTTGGTTTCAATTGTTTGAGAACTATGCTCAGAAGAACAAAAAGGTGTAGAAAGGCTCTAATCCTGGTGGAAAACGATGATTTTCGGCGGTTTTCCTAATCAGTTGCAAAAAGGAAAAAAGAAAAAAGGAAATTTGCTTTCGGCGGGACTCGAACGCGCGACCTTAGGATTATGAGACCTACGCTCTACCGATTGAGCTACGAAAGCTTCACGAAATAATTTTTGTAAACAGCTATAATATATACTTTATATATTGAAATTTGAATTTTAATCCTGATTTTATTTAAAATCTAATGAGTTTAATTTAACCTTGATAATTTTTCGAATGCAATTTTATGAAAAAAAAATTGTTTAATATCTCGCTCATGTTATCAGCAATACTACCTTTTTTAATTTATATTTCATTATTTCTCTACTAGATATTTGATATATCTGCTTTATTCAGTATTATTCCATTTAATTTTCAGTTTCATATTATTTTCCCGAAATATTCTTCTAAATTCCCTAATTTAAATGTAGAATTGTTCTTACATTTAACTTATTTAGTATATATTTGTGATACACTCTATCATTCATTATAGTTTTAACAGTGATATTATACAATTTCATAAAATTTTTGTTTTGTATTTTAAAAAAACAGTTTACATACATACAAAAAATCTTGTGTAATACTTCAACAGGAATTCCGAAGAAATTAATTCTGATTATTATAAAGTGGAGGTAATTCCGATGGTTCTGGGTAATCATCTTCCGTAACAACTATTTCCTTTATATTTAGTTTCTTCTTCCAGTTCCTTGTATAATTTTGTTCTTGTTTCTTTCTCTTCTTATTCTCTATCTGCGAAATCAATGTATCTTTTTGAATCATTACATCAGTTTCTTGACGACGGTATTCTGCATTTAATCGCATCTTTTTAGTCTTTAGATCTGCAAGTTTCTTTCTAAGCATTTCTATTTTGGCATTATCACTTGATGCAGCAGCATTATCAAGGTATTCAAGCATTTTCTCTTTAAGCGTTCGCTCTTCTTGATGTAATTGGTTCAAAAATATCGAAAGTTCGTTTATCTTCGAATCTTGTTCTCTAATTGTATCTGCTAATTGTGATTCTGTAATTGATGATATCTGCTTCTGTTTGGCGTTAATAGCGTTTTGATTATTTTGAATTAATTCATTGAAATTTTTAATCTCTTCTAAATAAGATCTCGATTCATATTGTAATCTTAGCTTGGTTGCCTCAGAAAAGAACCTCCTAGTTTTGGCTAGTTCAGTTTCTAATTGTGTATAACGTTTTTGTTCCTCAGAAATCTTTGCAACATATTCTGTTGTAAAGCCTGAAGTATCTGCATCACTTTCTGGTTGAAGATGTTCTTTTTGTGCGAGTAATTCTGAATATTGTTTGTTTAGTGGTTTAATTTCTTCTTTAAGCTTTTTAATTTCTGTCATAATGGTTTTCTTTTGATAATCAAGATATTCTGGTGATAAAAACTCTTGATTTTCAGCAGTAATTTGGACTTGAGAATTTCTCATTAACCTATTATAAGATCTCCTTATATTTGCTTCTTCGCTATCTCTTCTAGATGATGGGGGTCTTATTTTAGTTGTAGTTTGTTGCTCTGTCCATGTTATGCTCATAATAAAAACGTTTACACAAAAATGGTTTCGTTACAAAATTATTGAAAATTTCAGACTTTACACGAAATAGAACGTACGCATATGTAACAGCACACAATTGAACAGATAATCGACTTTTTCTTATCAAAATGTTTGAGGGAAAGAAGAAACATCTGATTGAGCACTTTCGGTACATTTTATTATGATCCAAAGTAGCTTGGATAGTTAAATATTTCTCTTCTTGTATTTACATCTTCCATTAATTTCTTGAAATTTTACATTCTTTTTCTTCAATCCCAAAATAAGCAAATTTTTAGCGCCATTATTTCAATAAATTCGAGATGTATTCTTCAACACGTAAAGGACAAATGAATCAAGTCAAGGAAAAACTTTAAATGAAAAGATAAAAATTTCCACTCAGAAACATTTCATTACCATTCCATATAAATATCTCCATTGATTTAAGTTATAGATTTCCATGACATTTTTAAGTGAATTACCTAATGATATATTAATATTTCCTCGAGTATTTATAATAACAAATTTATCGAAAATTGGATTGTTTTACCACTTAGGGTTTCAACAGCATCCGATAACAAGTCTACCATTATCCTTTTTACCTTGCTTCGAGTAATTTTCTTTTCGATTTATCGAGTTTTTGCGAGTATGTCATCATTTTTTAACAGTCGTATTATTACTATTTTATTTTTGTTTACTTTTCTTATTACATTGATCAAGTTAGAGTTAGATTGACTAAAATATTTTTATGAATTTACATAACGTTTTTAAATATATGAAACATTGTTTTAGAAAAACTACTTCTAAGATGTTTTTAAGTAAAACATACGAAAAGATTTGAATATTTGTTTAAAATTAAAAATTTCTAATAATTCAACAAGATTATGCGATAAAAAGAAGAAAAATCGGATATTATATGGAAAATAAGTACTTCCTATTTTCCAAAAATTTTTGAAAATCTAATTTATCTTGATAAATTTGTGTTTTTTCATTTCATTTTTAGATTTTCGAATTTTTTTTGGAAATTCGAATGTGCCTAGATTTCATTCATAACAGGTTTATTATACTAAACCATCCATGAAAATTTTATGTCATAGTTTAAAATAAAGGAAAATCTTATAGATAAGATTTTTATATTGAATTATTTCCAATATAAGAAGTTTCCAATCGACACTATTATATACTTTTATTGAATAACAAATATCAGGCACTCTAATGTCTTAATTTTGAAGCGATATAAAGTTACAGTTCATATCTCAATCAATATCTGAGTTTTATGGGAATATTATTCACGAATATCTCTCATATCTGGAATACATCACAATGATATTTATTAAGTTCTAATATAAGCTCCAAAATAATTTGATATCCAAATAATACAATAGACAGTTTAAATGTGTTGAAATATTATTTTTATCGCATTCGAAGTAAAACAAAATACAAAAAATCAAAATATTATAATTACATAACATTACATTGGATAAATTGGCTTCTACCAGCATTATTTCTCAAATCTTCAAGAGCCTCTTGAACTTCACGTTCAATTTCTTCCTCGTTGATAGAAGTAAAAGCATCAGGTTGCCACAACATTGCGTAATCATCAATTCCGCTTGTTGCAAGCATCTTTTTCTGTCTGTGGACAGCAACAACGTTTACATTGCCTTCGTGGCCCTTCAGACATTTCTTAATTTTGCCAGTTTCGACATTGTAGAAGTAGATATTTCCATCATCGGAACCAGTAACGACGAAATCGCCAAACCAGTTGCAAGACTTGATTGTCTCATAAGATTTGTGTCCTCTAAGTACTTGTATGCATCCTGGAGCGTTTTGTTGTTGAATTTCTTCTTCTTCCTCTTCGTGTTCGTCGTATTCCTCTTCTTCAACGTGAAGAGTTGCTTGCATGGCTCTGTTGAGTGCCATAATGTCAAGAGATCCGTTTTCGTCGATGAATTCTGTTGGATCTATTCTTGGACCGCGGTAATTGCGGCGTTCTCTTGGAGGAGGTGGTGTAAACTCTTCCAATTTGTATGAATTTGCTGTTTCGAAGACGTGAATGTCGCCACCAATGACGGTTGCTGCAATTCTTTTTCCTGTATCGTCAAATGCGGCTCCTGTAACTTCCTGCTCGGATCCGTATGCTTCTCGAACTGAAAATCCGTAATACTCTGTCTGATGAGGCTCTTTAATTGCACGTAAATCGAATAATTTTACGGTTCCATCTGCCGCTGAAGCTAAAAATTGTTTTCTGTCAACAGGATTGACATCCATCGAGAATATTTGAGAATGCCTACCGCTAATTTCGAGTAAAAGTGTTTCGTCAACTGAATATGATGGAATTTCATTTTTACCGCCTCCTTCGCCTTGAGAACGGATATTATGAGTTATAAGATCCATGGTCAATCTGTCACGACCATCGTAGTTCATATCTGCTTCGGTTAATATCTTTAAATTCACTTTTTCAGTGGATCGATATGGGACTCTTGTATCAAAGAGGCGGATAGTTGAATCTGATGAACATGTTACGAATGTATTTGGGTCAATTACGAATGAACACAAAACTTTTCTTACGTGATGATTAATAAAAGAAGTTGTAAAAGCACTAGTTTGAGAAAATTCAACAATTTGAACTGTAGCATCGTTTCCTCCGGAAATAAATTTGTTTGAAGAGAGGAAATTTGTTGTAAAAACATTAGTAATATGAGGGTGAAGCATTGTCAATGGCTTTGATTTTTGTGTTCCAATATCCCATATCCAAACACATCCATCGTCACAGCCCGTAATAAGCTTGTCACCAAATGGATTAAAGGCGCATGTGTTAATACAACCTTTATGACCGACAAGTTTAGTAGATTTTCGCATAGACTTTATTAAATACTCATCAGAATTGAAGAATTCCGGAAATGCATTGCAATCTCCTTCCCATTTCGTTTGGCGAAATATATATGACAAATCCATTAAATTTTTTTTGCTAAATTTACAATGAAAAGTGACAATTTAGCATAATTGAAACAATTCAAGGGACAATTGTATCTAAATCTAGAGAATAGTTATTTATGAGATTATGTATCAATCAAACTATCATTTAGCATATTTCTCTAACTTGGAAAACCACGAACTGAAATATACAATATCTTATCCGAAAGGTTACCTATATCTTTTGCTAACAATCCGTTTCCTTGAGCTAGATGATGCTTAAAGACCCAATATGCATCCACAACAAACATATTCAAGAAGGCGCTATATTGTATATTCTATTTCGATTAGTTTTACACAAAAAAAATTCTAAATCTTGATTTCCAAACTCGAACACATATAATGTAGCTTCCCAATTGATTCAAATTCGAAACTAAAAATTTATGAATTTTTATAAGCTAAATAATCGCTCTGTTTAATATACAAACAAAATAATATAATATACCTGATAAAAAATCAGTATAAATTATGGATACAGTTTGTCCTTTTGTTCTTCAGATGTGCTTATGGTTTCATATAAGATTGAAGATGATAAATCTAAATCGGATTCGAAATTTGAATCCGAAAACTCGTATTCATCATATTTCAGCTTATGATACGTTCTTGCTATATTAATTATTCCTAAAATTACGGTAATAATTATGAAAACTCCACCAATTCCTATATTAACTGCTTTTTGTACCCGTGTTATTTCCTTCTTAACATAATTTGTTTGAATTGGAAGATGCGTTTCTTTAATTTCTGGAACATCTTCGCCTCTAACAATCACATTTGGTGGGTCTAACCATACTCCATCCCACGATTCTTCTGGAGTTCTCTCTGGCGTTTTATTTCTGTCTTTTGGTTGATCTGTTTTCGGCGTGGATGGAACAGGTTGTGAACTTTCTGCTGACTCTTCTGGATCAGAACCAGAAATTTCTTCTCCTTGAACGTTAAATCTTAGTGATCGTGGAGGTGTTTTTGATGCGATTTTTATTACAACAAGAAGAGGAAATTCACTTTTTGAAAATCCCTCAATTTGTTGGTTAACTGTTAATTCACTAAGAACGTTAGCAGCTGACATGTATTTAAAGGTATCAGCTTCTGTTAAAGTATTTTTAAGGGTAACTGTAAATTCGTAGTAAGGAAATAGAGCACAAAATGTATGAGGATATTGAATTCCAGCACTTTGCATTCTTTCTTCAAGGTTGAAGTTTTTCGAAGCAAAAATAACTCCATTTGGGCAAAACTCAGGATTAACATAACCACCGCGCAATAAAACATGATGTTTAAATGAAGGTTTAACCCAGACTTTGAGAGGTCCATTGCTCGATATTGGCTTTGTAGCATCTTCAACTGAAATAGTTTCCCAATCTGATTCAATATCTGTGTTTGCAAATTGTTTTCGAGATACTTTAACAATGTCTGTATCTTCAATTTGATAAAAAATGATAAATGATCGAATGTTGGAATTTTGTTCTGTTGGCATTACTTGGAATATATTAACACTTTCTTCAATAGCATTAAAGAAAATATCCATTTTGGTATCAAAAGTTTGAAACAATGAACCAGCAAGAAGGGGAAAGAAGAAATACATTTCGAAATTAAATTTTTTGTTTACAATTTTGTGAGGGGTTTGAAAAAATGAAATTTAGCAATAAAAATATGATGATATTTCGAATTATAAGAAATTAGTAAAAATATTTAAATTGAATTAATGCAACGATGAAATATAGATTCTAATGTATTTTAACGATACAATATTATTATATTATAATTATATAATAAATTCTATAAAAATTGAAATAAATTCAAAATTGATTTATAAATATTTTATTAAGGAGCAATTTTACCATTATATTTTAAAATTTTGTTTATAAAAAATCTCGGCTTTTGAAAAAATTCTTATGAAAATTAAAATAACGAACTTGAATTTTTCTAATATTTTATCAAAATTATTGATTTTCATATAAAAAGAAATAATAACTTTTTTTTTATTTTTCAATAAGTTTAATCCCATTTGAAAATCTAAAAGTTATTCTTTCTAATATAAATAATAATTTTTTTATCCATTATATCCGACCAAATAATTTTCTCAAAGTTTGAAAGTTTGAAAAAGTTTTGAAAGATGTGCTCAAATTATAGAGAATCGATTAAAAAAAATTTATATCGATCTATTAGTAATATAATTAATAAATATTATTTATTAAAGAAATTTGATTTGAAATTTTAATGAAAATAAACGTCTCAAAAGTATTGAATTTGAGAAAGGATAAGGTTCTATGTATGACACCTCTTTGTATTTCAAAGAATTAGCATTTACCTCTTTGCTATATTTTTCTAAACGTGAACCCAAAAGTATGTTGTCTTCTATTAAGAACTTCCCTATTTGGTTCAAAGAATAAAATCTTTTGCACTTTTTCAATTCGTCCTTCAAATTTTGAGATGCATTCAAAATTAAAATTCCAAAAATATTGAAAAAGTGCCTAAAGATTTGCGACCTTTTTGCACTTTTTTGAATGTTAATTCAAAAAAAGTGCAAAAAAGGTGCAAATTTTTTTATTAAATTATCAATTTAGAAAAATTGAATTTCCTTATAAATATAAATGCTGTCCTTTTGAATTTTAGATTTCAGAATCTTGCCTGCTAAATTTCAAATGAAATCATTATCCAGACGCTTTGAGAGTCTAAATATATATACAAACAATATTTAAGTAATATAAAGGAAGTAACAAAGAATTTAATAGATCAGACATCTTTTTAACAGCCCATTTATTAACTTGATTTTTTTTTTGGAGAAAAAGATCAATTATATAATAAAAACATTTAAATTTACACCCGTATTAAATAATTTGAATTACGCAACATATTAACTTTTGGCAAAGTCATTTTTAAACAAAGTATGTTGCATCTAATGGCTCTACTGGTCTTTCAGAGTCTACTTCAGCCTGTGTTGGGAAGTCATCAATGAATGATGAGGAGCAAGAATTTGATTCACTGTATTCTTCATTGTCCTTGTTCTGCTTTGTTTGTGGGATATTAGCATAGAGAAGGTCATCGAATTCGCTATGATTAAGGAAGTCACAGAGCGAGAACATGTTCTAGCAGAAAATGAAGTGAATAAGTTTATCCTGGTTTGAACCTCTCAATCTTCACAATCTTATGACCAATTGTCGATTAAAAAATTGTGAGAGTAGTTGGTCATAAAAGTCTGAACATGATTTTAAAATAAGCACCAATATGGCCTATAAACTTTAGCCAATTTTCGCCTCTTTTCAATTGGGTTATGAAAAATTTCTTACGAAATTTTTATCTCATTTAATGCCCTATGATGGGTATTTAGTGAATACTTTAGCGAAAATTCGGAAAATTCTGACAGGTCTGATAAAGCATTCAAAGTTACACAAACGTTATTTTTTTGAGTGATTTAATATTGTGAGGTTAAGTTTTCGTTGATGCCAGGGTCTAGTGTATTAGTCCAGAGGTAACTTTAGCGAATTTTGGAATTGAGTGTCGAAAACTTTTCGACCATGATTCGTTTTTGACGATCGTCACTCGATAAATGCTGTTACAATACAAACATATGCATATTTATATGAAAATGGCCTAAAATATTTTGATAAAACATTCAATAAAGCCTTTTATCGTTTTAGTCAATCTAATTACAAACTAACTCGCCCTATCTTATTTATCATTGCCATATCTTGCACTAAACTTTCTATCACAGCATAACTATGAGGTTTTGAAATTTTGAAAATCAAATATACGATTAGAATCAAATTAACTCTGAACTACATTTAAAATTTAGTTTTATTGATCATGCATAATTTTTAAAGCATTTTATTGCCGAATTTTCAGAACCACCTGAATTTTCATCCAAGAAGAATGTGATTATAGTCTGATATTTGCAATGCAATAGGTAATGTTAAATTATTTTCCATTTCAGATGAAGGAATAATATTTTTGAAGTTATTCAAAAATATTTCCGTTTTTTCACAAAAATTGAGATATTTCTTTAATTTACACGGAAGCATAAAAAATTCTCTAGAGAAATTCATAACATAATTTATTCGTATGACACCAAAGATATAAAATCGGCTGGTAGCTCATAATATTTTATTTCATTTTCTGTCAGTTTCATCTTTGGAAATCCTTTTTGAAGCAGAAAATTAATGATATCAACATTTCTACGAAACACAGCCCAGAACAAAGGATTTTGATAGTTCCTTTCGATCTTAGTCTCTACGACACCTTTATCAAGGATTTCTTTGATTATTTGCAATTGATTTCTTTTTACAGCTTCAATTATGCAATCAAATCCAATTTTATTAGTTGAAAGAGCCATGATCTTTCTGAAAAGAGTTAAAGAACACATGCCAATTGCTTTGATTAATAATTCATCCGTTGAATAATTATTTTTCAAATCAAATTCGAAATTATTCAAAATATACACACCAGAAGCTTCATAATCATTCATTAATGCATATCTCAGTAATTCATAAACATTAATATGTAAACTGTTGATTTTTTCTTTTGTTACAAAAAGTGACAATTTTTACACATCATTTGTTTCTAATAACTGATACAATTGTTCTGCATTTAAATCAACTGTGATACCACGTTCGTAGAGGTATTTAATGATATCTACACTTATTGGATTGATATTAATTTCTGTCAAAACGTGGAAACTCGTGAAATTTTCATCAAGATAAATAACAGGAGAAATTGCAACATCATAAATACAAGGGACATTCCAGACTGAGTATCTTTCTAATAGTGATGGTTGTTGTGCCTTTATTAATGACAAAGGAGCTTTTTTATTAATTAATTCTTTGAGATAATCGAAATCATTAGAAAGAACAGCATTTCTAAGTAAAAGAAAACCAATTGAGCTGCGATATGAAATGTGATACTTGTTGATAGCTTTTTTGATCATTTCAACACTGTTTTTGTCAACAATTCTAAAATCATCAAAATTTGGACCCAAAAATTCATATAAAACACATGGACTGAATGCAACATAGTTATCAAAGATGACATCAAATAGTTCTTGGTTGTTTTTCGAGAAAACTTTCGAAAAAACACGATATCTGAAATTCATTGTAATTCTATCGAGTTCATTGAAATCAGTATTCAACAAATTCTTGTCTACAATGGCTTGAAGCGTTTCAACATCTTGATTTTCAATTAATGACAAAATTAAAACTGAGAAAAATTCTTTGTAAAAAGTATATGTTGAATCGCACATTTCGAGCAATTTTATAGCTACAGGACCTTTAATATTTGGTAAAACTTCTTCAGGAGGAGCAGATTTCAGTTTGAATTTATTTTCATAAAAAATATCAAAAAATTCAATGTCATTTTTCTCAAGAGTCATGATAATTGGATCAAAGTATGGTGTGCGATATAATGATATATCAGGAACCTTGAATTTTGTAACGTATTTCAGAAAATCTTTATCTTTTAATTCATAAAGCGAAGAATAGACATTTTTGAAACCAGCGATGATACCATTCTCAAGACAAAATGCCAAACCTTTGATATTTGTTGTTTTTGAAATTACAATTTTTGTCTGGTTGTAATTTTCAATTAACCAATCAATCAATCTGTTCTGTCTGCAGTACAAAGCTTTCTTCAAACAATTGTGAAATGTCATGCCGTATTGTTCAAGTAATTTAATAATTTCTAAATTTCCTTGACGAACTGCTAGTTTTCCGTAATCTTGATTCTTTGGAAAAGTAACACCATTAAGAATTAAATACTTAAAGATATTAATGGCTGAATATGTAATTACTTTTGTAAATAAAATAACTGAAGAAATTCTACCTGGAATGTATTGTTTTCGAAACTTTTCAATGTCATCGGTTCGAAATATTTCATCAGATTCATCCCCAGAATCACAAGCTTTAATATTTGTTTGATATTCGTCATAAATAACTTCCAAATTACAACTTTCGGCTAATCTAAATAAAAATGTATTTTGCGGAAATATCTTAGGATGATACAGTTGACCTAATGCTTCAAAAACCTTGATTATCATTTCTCTTTTACTTATGAATTGATTTCTCTTGCGAATTATATCTGTAAGATTAAATATCCGTCCAATTATTCTATTGCGTAAGTCTGGTTGGATTTTTTCAATAATTTCTTGCAATTTGATTATTGTAATTTCAATATTTTCTGAATTTATGTTGCAAATAGCTTCCTCTGCTTGATCTAAATACTGTAATTCTGGTGGAATTTCTACATCTCTAATACTTTTGATATTCAATGCAGCTGGATTGATAATTGCTCGATAATTTATTTTTTGACTGTTTCAAACAAAGATTTTCTTACAACTCTTAGTATATTTTGACTTTTCCTCTCTTCGTTATTGTAGCTATTTTTCCAACCCCATGAACAAACTCTAATGTCTCACTCTTCTAAAGATGTTGGATGAATTAATATCTCTTATTTTAGTAAATTTAATCAGAGTTTTTGTTGCAAATGACATTGAATCCATGTGCAAACACGCAATATCTCATGAAAAATCTTCAGTGGTGTTAAATTTGGCTTCATCACATTCAATTTTTTTTTATTATAAGATGATACGCAACGAGAATGAACTAACATACCATTTACAGCAAAGACATATTGGTAACAGAGTAAAATGCATCATGATCACTTTGAATAATTAAATAATTAAATATTTTATTGATCAGATGTTTATACTATTGTCCAGAATATTGTAGTACTTTATACACATGATCATCAGAATATTGTAAACATAATGACATGAATCATCAGAATATGATGATTTGAATCACAATTTATACGTTGACGATTATTTTCATAAAAATTTACTAAAATTATATTGAAAATGCATACATACCTTTAAATGCCTTCATGTAAAAATTTCAAAAATTTGCCGTTGCAAATTCTTATAAAGTCTTTTCAGGGGGGGTTATACCGTGATATTAGCCTTGTACCAAAAAAAGTGACGGGCAATGCCGTAAAATAATATTTTATTAAAAAATTTTTGGTGGAGAATTGGAAAATTTTTATTGGAAAATTGGAAAAATTTCCTAATCATTTGGACTATAACCTGGCATATTAGGGAGTTTTGTCAACAACTCAGTGCTGGGATCAAGATAGTTTGTAATCCAAAAGTAGAAACGTTCCTTGGTGTCTTGTTCTGGCTTCCTGCAAAATCTGTGATTTACAGGATTCTTCTTAATATTGTCAGAAATTGCGCAAATCATGTCCATCGTCGTCAATTCTTCACCATTGATGTTAAAACGATTTCGATTACGGTAATTTCTTTTCTCTTGCAATTCTTAAATATTCTGACATCAAGATTTAGTTGAATGAGGCCTTCATTAATATTTCGATGAGCCTAAATTTTCGATGATAGAATTATTCTGATAAATCTTTTACTCATCCAAAATATATTTTCGGAATTCTCTTTTTAAGTTCAAAAACCAGCTAATTTACTTTTTTATGCGCTAATTATAAGCGATAAATACATAAACGAAATAGAAATCAGATCGAAAAGAAATTATTCTTCAATTGCCTAATTATTTAAAGCCCATTAGTTTATAAGCTCGTAGGTTTGTTAATTGGATATGAAAAATATCAACTTAATTATAAAAAATATAAGAAACAGAAGATTTTTATAACTATATTATTTTTGAGTAATAAAAGAACCACAACAAGCGAAGAAACTCTGCAGTGGACACATAGGGTATGTAACAGTTGCTCTATATAGTCCGCCATCCAATAATCCGAGCGTAGAAACGATTCTTTTCGGGTTAGAATCGTGATAAATGATGAAATTGTGGAAATCAGGTTTTTTGAAGATATTTTCGAAGGAAAGATCGAAAGAATTTCCGGTATTCTGTGGCATCCTTGTTTTCATGACAATTGCTTCCTTTGCCTTTTGTTCAACCCTTGCAATAAGACCGGAAGTCTCAGAAGCTTCGATTGAAACATATCTTTGACCTTCTGGACGTTTTTTAAGGGCAGGAATGTATAATTCAAAGAGCAATGGACCTCCTTCGGATACAAATGACTGGTTTAACTTCATAGCACAGTATTCGAAGTAAGGTTTTTCTTCACAATTGTAAATGTAAAATGTATTATCATCTTGTTGACGTATTTCCGCAACTCTCTGACCGCCTAACATTACAGAAACATGATTCGAACTAATAATTCCTTTAATCTGTATCTGCTTAGTAGATGGATTGACAAATCCAAGTTCGTTTTCATTTTTGTAGAAAATAAACCGAACATTTTCTTGGGATTTGAGAGATATTGTCCAATATTCAGACATTGATAGTGGCGAATCTGTTTCTTCAAAATTATAACCAGATCTTCTCGAAATTTTGTTTCGTGGTGGAGGAGATTTCGGAGCAGGCTCATTATCTTGTTCTTGATCTTGTGATTGCTCTTGAACGTTTTGATTCTTTAAGAGTTGCTGGATTCGCTTTCTTGCCTGAGGTGATAAATTTTGTTTTTGATTTGGGGATTCTTGAGATGGAGTTTGCATTTCTGCTGGTTGTACAGGAGATTGTGGAGGTGTTTCTGCAGGTGGTTGCTCTAATTTTTCTTTTATTACATTTGAAGGCTGAATTGAGCTTGATTCAACATTTTTTGCTTTTTGTTTGTAATTTTCATTTGGAAGTGGTGCAATTGAAGGTTCAACTTGGTTAATTTTTGTATCTATTAATCTAGTTTTTGGGATCCTGCAATGAAAATACTGCACTTCGGCAGTATTCATTGTCGGATCTGTAAGGATGAATGCTGGTTGAAATACAATTCGCAAATCATCAAGATATGGCTCTTTTTGAGATGACATTGTGAACGTTATGAAATTCCAAAATTCAACGATAGATCTTTCATGTCTTTGATAAGGAATAACCTCATTATTCCAGTAATTATGCTTATAACTTTTATTACAAAAAGGCAGAAGATCTTCTAAAACATGTGATTGGCCAATTTACGAGATGTTTAAAAAGGTTTTCTTTCATGCGGAATTAAATTGAAATTTTCAACTGCGATTGAGTACTCTACAAAACATTTATAGTGAGACAAATCAATAGATGTTAAAGCTTTTTGAAAGATCATGATATAAAAAAGTATTGTATTTTTTGAATTACGAATCAATATTTCAGAATATATATTTTTAAAGAACTGTAATTGGAAATTGAAATTTAAGGCCATAATTAATGAATCTCTCAATACTTGAGTATAAAATTTAAAAATTTGAAATTAAAGCGGAAATCTATATACTTGTATAAGCAGATACTATATAACATTGATAGAAAGAATAATATAGAGAATTCGGGTTAAAGAGAGTAAGTCAATAAGAAGATCGATTTGGAAAAATCGAAGTTACTTAAATTTGAGCAATTAATTAAATCCGTATCATGTTAATAACCTCAAGTATCAAATAATTTAAAATTCGGTAGCTAAAAAAAAGTCAATACGTTTAATCAAAAATAATGAATAAATTGATGGGAATGGGTAAACAGGGATTAATCGAGACTGTTAAATTTTATTCAAAAGTGGGAGAATTTAAGATAAATAATTAAATATTTCAAAAGAATATGTGAAATTAAAAGATATGAACATTTTTCTCTTTTCATTTACTTTTTGAAAGACCAACTTTTTTGTCGGAGATATTTAGCTAGTAATAGTTCCATTAGTATTTTAAACATATTTAAAATTTGAGAGTTAAAATCAGATGAGACCAAAAATTTAAAATATAGCTAGATAAATGATGTCAAATCATCTTTGTTCAATAGAATTTTTTTCAGAAGAATAAAGCTATTGAAGTAAAAAATATTTATGGTTTAACATTATTGGGACTGAAAATTCTGTTTAATAATATAATCCTCAATCGATAAAGAATTTTTGAAAAATTAATCGTTGAGAATTTGATAATGAGTCTCAAAACTACTAAACAAATTATTAATTAGATTTATTATAATTAATTACATACAAACATCTAATGTGGTCATTCGTTTTCCTCACAATATTTTTAATAAATTATTTGATTTACAAATAATCAATTTGAATAGATTTGTGTTACAGTTTTTCAAATGTTTTTCGTGTCTTGTTAGAAAAAAATGCAATACATATGTTATATAGTATTTTTGCTTGCACAAGTGATAAATTGTACTATCAAAATCAAAAGATGTTCTCAATTACAGGTATGCATCTTTTTTCCTACAAAAATAATACTACTAATAGTGTTCTTCAAAATATTAATTAGTTGGACGCGTAATGCACAAAATTTTCTTCAGTCTACAATGGCAATTAATTCTATCGTTGAATATTTAAATTCTACTTTTGAGCAACTTGGTACTTTGATCATGTATATTCGTATACATCATATTTACCTTTAAAAATTGGTTCAACGTTACTAGCTAAACAGATTTTCAATCCATTCACAGTTTTATTCAATATTCAATTGAATGTTTTTTTACAGATATTAAATATTTGATAGATACATGGAACAATCACCAATGCAGAAGAGAACTCATGAGAAATCTTGCCACATTAAGTTCACACCTGAAGAAGATGATAAGCTTCGTGAGATTGTCGAGCAAATCGGCACATCTTCTTGGCCTAATGTTGCCAAATATCTTAAGGGCCGAACTTCCAGACAGTGCAGAGACAGATGGAATCACTATCTATCCCCACAGGCCAATCTCACTGAGTGGTCTGCTGACGATGAAGAGTTATTACTCTCATTGTACAGACAATACGGCACAAAATGGGCGTTCATTTCATCGCATTTTCCAGGAAGAACTGCTGCTTGCGTTAGAACCCACTGCTGTCGCTTGCAGAGGATTATAGAAAGAAATTCCACCAAGGCATCACAGACAATGCAACCTGTTCAACAAAGCCAAATCACTATGGTTAATATAGTTCCCGATTATAGTCCAATATATCAACCTCCATATATTCCACAGCCAGTTCAGCAATATATTCCTCAACCAAATCCTTATGCTTTTAACCGCTTGCCATCAATTTATCAACTTATCCTGTAATTGGTTCTGCGGATATTCACCCCTTGTTATTATGTTGCTTAAAACCTCATAAAGATGTGTTTTTTTGGATTTTTAATTCTGATTTGGATTTTATAGGCTATTCCCCCTACCATCTCTATTTCATCGATTGTATTCGAATTTTGTTTAGCAATATTTTCAAGAATTTTTTTAAATTGCTGAAAAACTTTTATTTGTGTAATAAGCAGAAATTCATCAAAAGTGACAGCTCTCAATTTTTTGACATTTGTAAATTCTAAATTGAATGAGAAAAATGAAATAATACTAAGCATAATACAATATTCTAGATTTAATTATAATTAGGAAAAGTTAGTTTTGAGAGTACTTTTCATAGGCATATAGAATGAAATCTTCTGAAAAATAATATCACATAAACTCATATTATTTTCTAATATATAACTATTTTATATAAAAATCAAATTCAATGATCTTAAAAGCGAAGGATAAACCTCAAAATTTACGAATATAATGAGTGGGAATATAATGCTTATCTATCATAAAACCATATGAAATATCAATTTTTGCTTTACGCCTAATTTTTGACGACAATTAGCAAAAAATGTTAAATGTTAACACTCAGTCCATTTGAATATGAAAAATAAAATTGACTTTGATTAAATGTTTTTATTTATCATGCAATTCTTCTTGCGACCAAAGATTTGAATGAGGATGTTTTATTGTCGTCTGGAAAAAGTGACAAAATTATTATTGTCGTCTAAAAAGGTGACAAATTATTATTGTCGTCTGGAAAAGTGACAAAATTATCATTGTCGTCTAAAAAATAGATTTTTCAAGCATGTTTCGGTACCTAAATAAAGGAAGAACATCAATTCCATCTATGTATATAGTATGCAAACACGCATGATATATGGAGTAGCTCTTTATCTGGCTAAAAATCCGATTATTTGAAAATTCGCATTGTCGTCTAAAACCGCCAGACGACAATAATAATACCCCGATTTGAATACCCTATATTTCCAACTCTTGGAAAATTTTCATGACCCCCTACCCAGGGTCCTAAAATGGATATTTTCCTCACACAGACACCGTGGTTTTTTGAGCCGGGAAATAAATAGCGCAGACAGTTTCTACATATAGAGACATGCTTATACTTAGAGTTTGACGGGAATCTAAAGTGATTTTTTTCTGCATCGCGAAATCTAATGCAATCTCAAAATCATGAAGAAACTGCGAATCGGAGCGCAATTTTTTAATATGTTAATATATAAAGGTACCCCTACTACTGCAAATGCTTCAAATGAAAATCTAAGAAATCAGATTAATTTGATCACATTAGTATAGTATTGGTCAAACCAAAAACTCATATGTTGATATATAGCCTATAGATATTCATATTATCTACTTTTCATTGAATTACATAAGATTTAATAATCTCATAAATATTCTTTTTAATTTTCCGAATTCCGTGTGCATTTAGATTGCCTATACCTGTATATAATAATTCTAGAATGGTTTGGTTAGATATTAAGTTTTTTAGATTAATTTTAACATTTTGATAAAACAAGCATTTGTTCCATTTTAGAATCGCCATTGAACTCTGGTTTGACTAACATGATGTTGTATGATCAAATAAATTCTAACTTCATGAGATAAATTTTGAAATTAGAAAATGCGATATATGACTCAAATATTTATCTGAACACATTTAACATTCAATGATAAACTAAAGTACTATACAGCCGATTCGATTTGGCTTATATTTTATATAATCAACAAATAATCCTATAAAATTGTGCTATTCACGTTGCTCAAAGATGTATTGAACATTCCCTACTTGTGTATTGATAAAATTAGATATAGATTCTAATGTAAATCGATATTTTGAAAATTCAATTTTTTCCAAAAATGTATGAATTCAAAAGTTCAGATTATATCTAGTCATTTTCCAACATTAATTTTGTGTTTTAGTTTTTGAGATATTCATTTTATTATACGTATTATTCAGAAAATTAAAAGAATTTGTGAGGGGAAACCGAGGAGATAATAAATATGTAAAGATGGATGAATAGACAATTTGAAAAAAAAAGCAATAATTTTGAGTTGTGTTTATCTCTTTATGTGATGCATATTTTCACGATCTGCCAGCAGAAATCGAATCAGCGGAGCCAGAAGAATCAGATTACGTGTGGAAAATAGGTTTTGAACGCTTAGATAGGGCTAAAATGAGACTTTATGAGGTGTGTTGTATAAATATAGTTTTTGCGATAATGTGTCATGAGATCAGAATATGAAGAGAGTAAATATGTATTATTGTCACAGGTTTATATGTGGGGATAGCTCGATAGAGTCTCTAAAAGAGATTAGTACGTGAGTAAGGCGATTTAATAAACAAAAGAAAGAAATAATTAAATTTTTTTTTAACTTCGAAAAGATTGTATGAAAGTGTCTTTGATTGTAAGATACATTTAGATCGACAAGAGTGTATTGTGCACTCTTGTCGGTCAAACTTCCGCATTCAAGTTATGAATGCGGAAGATTGTCTCATTCTGGGAGACATGCAGTGACAATGTCTCCCGGAATGAGACATGCAGACCGACAAGAGTGCACAATACACTCTTGTCGGTCAAAGTTTTGCACCAATTCTGATTGCGGAAGATTGTCTCATTCTGGGAGACATGCAGTGACAATGTCTCCCGGAATGAGACATGCAGACCGACAAGAGTGCACAATACACTCCTGTCGGTCAAAGTTTTGCAATCACATTCTGATTGCAAAAGATTGTGCTATTCCTGCATATTTTCTACGAGCCTGCTTCATAAAATTGAATCCTTCTATCCAAATTAAATGCGATTTCGCTAATCTTTCATCTAAAATCACTAATCAGAAGCATATTGCAAGTTAACTTGAACCGGCATGTTCCTCCTATCCTGTCTTTCAGTTCTTTCTATCAGCCATGGTTCACAAGGAGGAGAGCTTTGCGCACAATCAGACATAAGATTGCGGCAGAGGAACCGGGAAGAGAGCAGCTTGAAGCGGTAAGATGTCCGAATGCTGTCTCCCAGGTGTATCTGTCAGGCAAAGTTCACAAGGAGGAGAGCTTTGCGCACAATCAAACAGAAGATTGCGGCAGAGGAACCGGGAAGAGAGCAGCTTGAAGCGGTAAGCTGTTTTCAAGTCTTTAGTTAACAAACTTTAACAAAAGACATCTAAAAAATTTGAAATAATTGCAAAATAATGCCGTCAGGTAATGCGCACCTAAGGGAGGTGTTTTGCGGGAGCTGGGGGTATCTTGGTGAGTACTCAGGAGGCCAAGAAGGGCACCCCAACCGACATTTTGCTGACGCATTGTGTAAGCAACCATTCTGATAACCGCTCAAACCGTCGGGACAAAATAATTTATGAAATTATAAGTCATCTTTCTAATACATATTTTTGGAAGGGCGTAAGATACGCCAACTTAAATATATTATTAAATATGAGAAAATCACTCAACAAAAAAACAATTCTTTCAAAAAGTTTAAAATTTATCTTTCTAATACATATTTTTGGAAGGGCGTAAGATACGCCAACTTAAATATATTATTAAATATGAGAAAATCGCTCAACAAAAAAACAATTCTTTCAAAAAGTTTGACATTGATCTTTCTAATACATATCCTATGGAAGGAGTTTACATTCACAAAATAAAAACCAGTTCAAAATCTTATTACTCCTTGAATTAAAATCATTTAATTTCAAATCCATTCCAAATCCTTAAATCTGTATTAAAATCATTTTGCCAACAACCAACACAATACAAATTACATTTCCATATATCTTCTTGTCCATTTTAATTTTTTATCTCATTTTATTTAATTTTATTTAAAGCATATAGACATCGAGATCCTTTACACATAGTTATATAAAAGTCAAATACATAATAAATTCTTAATTCTAGAGATATCTCAAAATCTCAATTTTTTAATTTAAAATACCTTTCATTTTTCACAGTACTATCACAACAAACAAGCCATTTACTAATTAACACATATAAGAAAAATATCAAATTACAAAACAACTTTCAATATCATTCGCATCGAATTCTATTTTTTCATAATTATCAACTACATGTTATTATATAATATATGTCGGCGCATATTCCACTCTATACAAGTGTCAGACACACTCACACAAAGCTGTGAGATTCATACCTCTATCAGTAGGACTTCTCAAATCAAGAACACATATGTTTCACTATCGCACATCTGTGTAGGATCTAATTAACCCTTTGGACTGGTACTTCAAAATTTGATAATTTGATAATTTCATGTGATATCATCATTTGCCTTTAAAACAACTGTGCGTTAAACTAGACACATCATAATGCAAAATATCAAAGTTTGGGAGACTCCCAAAGTGTCTGAAACTGATCATAAGGGTGAAAAAACGTTTTCCAGAAGTTGGGAACGTAGGGTAAAATTTCAAAAAATAAGATAGCTTAAAAAATAATATACGGTAGTGTTTACTAATAGATGAATAGTATATAAATTCTATTAAAATGGATTTGATCCAAAAAAATATATAAAATTTGATCATAAATAAAATCGTTTTAAATTACTTCTTCATTTAAATTATAACAATTATTTTTGGTTTTATATTTTTTTGGATCAAATCCATTTTAATAGAATTTATATACTATTCATCTATTAGTAAACACTACCGTATATTATTTTTTAAGCTATCTTATTTTTGAAATTTTATTCAAATCTTTGGTCGCAAGAAGAATTACATGATAAATAAAAACATTTAATCAAAGTCAATTTTATTTTTCATATTCAAATGGACTGAGTGTTAACATTTAACATTTTTTGCTAATTGTCGTCAAAAATTAGGCGTAAAGCAAAAATTGATATTTCATATGGTTTTATGATAGATAAGCATTATATTCCCACTCATTATATTCGTAAATTTTGAGGTTTATCCTTCGCTTTTAAGATCATTGAATTTGATTTTTATATAAAATAGTTATATATTAGAAAATAATATGAGTTTATGTGATATTATTTTTCAGAAGATTTTGTGTTCTTCTTCAAAATTTTATTTTTTATTAAAAAGAATCTTTACAAAATATACATTTACTTTAATTAATATTTAAAAACGTGCTCTATCAAAAGTTCCAAAAATTCAATATTTTAGCTTTTCTGAGGTGTCACTTTTGATGAATTTCTGTTTACAACAAAAAACTTTTATTTGATTTAGAAATCAATTTGGTAGCATAGAGACAATCAAAATATAAATTTATTTAGATCTGATTCAGTTACATTGAATATGAAAATTATTTCGTTTTCAAATCACATTAAACATTGCACTGATTAATATTGGCTTGACATTGTTTATTTTTTCTGAAGACTTGGAAGTTAGATCAATTGAAATTTCTGAATAGTTTGTAAAATAAATTTTACATCTTAAAAGTAATGACCAACTATAATTTGAAATATATCATAACTCGATGATATAATATTATTTCAGTCTCTTATTTTTCTTTCATGAATTATTTTTCAAAACCAATTTTTACAGTTTTCATATTGAGCATAAAAATATAATTTTAAATCATAATATTCAATGACTAAAGTAATATTTGCCAAATTGGTTAAAAATTGTATTCTCGATGATTTTACAGGTTTTCCCCTAATTTTTCGTAAGTGATTAATAGTAAAATTTGGTTGTACACGCTGTGAAGATTTCATCGCTCGTTAATTGCATTATTTTATTGAATCTTTATGTCTAGAAAATTCTATCTTGCCTTTTATTTTTTTCTCGCTGTGAAACGTATTCGGTCATTTTTTTAAAAATTAATTTTTTGTTAGAGATAAGGGCTAAAACTCGGTAAACAACTTCTTTATGTCTAGAAAATTCTATCTTGCCTTTTATTTTTTTCTCGCTGTGAAACGTATTCGGTCATTTTTTTAAAAATTAATTTTTTGTTAGAGATAAGAGCTAAAACTCGGTAAACAACTTCTTTATGTCTAGAAAATTCTATCTTGCCTTTTATTTTTTTCTCGCTGTGAAACGTATTCGGTCATTTTTTTAAAAATTAATTTTTTGTTAGAGATAAGGGCTAAAACTCGGTAAACAACTTCTTTATGTCTAGAAAATTTAACATTCGTCTCCCATTTTTATATATTTGGTTTAGAATGTTCGAAAATGCGTAATATGGTCATTAATATTAATTGAAAAGAACCTTGAATTAATTCAATCTGATCTCACAAAATATTTTAAATTACAAACTTTGTAGTTTGAATAGATAATTAGTATTAAACTCAAATAACTAGTTTATTTTTGAATAAAAATTATTTGAATTCATTCAATTTTGTGAATTTTCCTTCAAAAATCAAGTTTAAATATCTTATTTGCCATATAATTATAAATACAATGAAACATATTCGAAATTGAAAAGAATGACTTTTTCTGTTCTTTCAATCATTCAATTTGAATTTTGCAATATTGGATTTCTCATTAAATAGCTATTAAAAACAACAAGCAATTTAACTTACATTCAAATTTATTTGTGTTATATTCAATCTTCTTAAAACTTATAATTTTCGGCTATAGCATGATTATATGCTATATAATATAATAAACCTATAATAGTATCATTCTTTCAAATATTTTAAGAGAAAACCGAAAAAATCTATTTTCGGTCTATAACAACATGGGATCTCTTTTTTTGCTATTTTCGGATCTAATTATAAAAATGCACATATATTCGAAATCAAACAGCACGAAAGCTCATCCATAGTTTTTTTTTTTTTTTTTTTTTTTTTTGATAATTCTTCACAATTCATCAATGTCATTGTTATTATCGAATTTTAGTTGGATTTTCTCTATTCATAATCAGTACTTAGTGATTTGAGCTCCAAATCATTCACCAGCTCAATTTTTTCTCAGTTGAGGGAAAAATTACTAATACTTTATTTACTATATCTTTTCTATTCATCAAACTATTAATAAATTTGAATATTATTCAAATTTTTCAAAGGAAATTGAAAATTTCAGTTTATTCAATATCAATTTGAAAATTGATGTTTGAACTTTTATTTAACGAGCTTCGCTTGCTTCATGAAGACACTTGTTTCATACTGACGATCAGCTAACTATTTATTCTATTTATTCTATTTCGATTTCTAAATTTATAAATTACAAATAATACTGCAATTCTCATCGATATAATTTAATGTTCTTTTTCACTCCTTTTAGATAATTAAGATTTGCAATACATTTTAAATTCCTTCTTCAATCATCTTTTTTTTTCAATAATAATATTCCACAAGCTCTTAATTACATTATATTTGTGATGACATCAGTAAATATGATAATTTAACTCCTAGTAATATCAATATGAAGAGAAAGGAGAACAGAATTGGATATTTTACCATCATTTTTGTTAAATTATTATCACATTCTAGTGTTAATCAGAGAAAATTATAAAACACTTGAGATCGAAATTATAATATTATTCCCATATTGAGACTAGTCTTGAAGAAAATCATACATCAATCAATAAGTTTGCAATATTCTAACATAATCATTTAAATATTACTAAAATCAAAATTCATCAAATTAATTTGGTATAAAAGTGAAATTTATGAATAAAATTAATATATACCATTTTCAAACCTTTTATGTTCTTAATGAGTTATTTAAGTTTTTAACTTAATTTCATGCATCCTATTTTCATGAAGAATTTGCTCCAAAAACATTTAGAGCTAATCACAAATTTTGTAAGCCATGAATTGATTCTACATAAAATACGTTTTAACCACTCATCAAGTCTATAATTTCAATTTTCCATGAGATGAATGATTTATCATTTGTAATTAACTATGATTTATATGAATAACTTATTTTAGGAACCAAAATTCTAATCTCGTCGTTTTATTTTTTAGAATCAGATTTCAGTTAAAATATTATATTTTCATAATGCCAATAACTACACATGCACATATAATAGACATTATAATCCAAAATTGGTTTTGAATTTATGCAGAAATGACTGAAAAGTTAAAATTCAATATTTGAAACATAAAACTACAATGTTTGATTCTCCATAAGAAAAAGAAATCACAATTAGACGTGCCGAATATCCCCTTCAATTCCATTTGAATTTAAAAATCTCTTAGGAAAGAAAAGTTCTAAGTTCATGATGTATAATGTAATAATCATAACTCATGAGCAAGCCGGTAAAAAACCTCCTGACATTCAAAATTGAATTTATTCATCTTTTTGTTAATAATCTAATGCATTTATTGTCCTTTATATCAAGCAACTGATGAAATATAAAAATATATCACGTACAGTTCAATAAATTGGTTGAAAGGATCTTTTCAAAATAAAATATGTGCTTTCAATTTTATTTGATTTTGTATTTGAGCATTGAAATTAATTAGCAGATTTTGAAATCAAGTATTTCTATAATATTCATGTATAGAATGTCATGCTAAGTATAATTCTAAAAACACAGGTAATTTTTAATGAAGAAAGTAAAATGAAAATTCTCAATTCAAATTGTATATTTTGAGAGGAGAAATTTGAATCAATTAGAACTATTTTATAATTGAACAATGTTTGTACAACCCCTATACCCGATTTCGAGTACTTATGATATGCCTCATCCAAAAGCAAAGTCTGCTCAATCGATCCGAGATAACGAGAAGGTTCAGAAGAGAGTCAAGTTTAATGGTGAGAAGCTCGATTATGTCTCAAACTATATTGACAAGTATTTCGGTGCTCATGTCACTATTGCTATCCTCACGAGCTTAGCTAAAATTGTAATGGGAAAGCATAAGGTCAAACTTGATAGATTGGCCCGCCGAAATAGAGCTGCATTGCTATGCTGGTATGCGGAAAACTGGGATATCATTCATCCAATCCTGAAGGAGAACGATTTCAAGAAGAAAATCAAAATAAAAATGCATTCATATCCAAATCATATTGATCGCAGTAACAATGAGATCCCAAAAGAAAGCTGTGATTATTACTATGTCGATCCGACTGATCTCACAGTATTGCTCAACTATCATTAAGACTGTTTTGTCAATGAAGATAGATGTTCATTCAATTGTTTATTTTTTGAATATGAATAAAACCGTTTTATTATGAATTGAGAGAAAAATTTGGAACTTTAACGTGTTTTCAAATAATTGAATTGATATAAAAATAATGCGATACTGAAAATATGTATAAATATGTAAGATTTACGAATTTTTAAAGGAATTAATTTATTGATCTTTGTGAAACCATATATTTGCTTCACATTGTATTGGATCCTTAATAATAAGGTCTAATGATCTTTAAATTTGATATTGATATCCGTAAAAATATGTGATTAGCATTTCTGAAATCATTTTTGAAAATTACGTATGCTGATCCAAACACATATCGATATAACTCATCATAATATGCATTGGAACATAATTTCCAAAATGAATGGTTTTAATTTTTTGAAAGTGTTTTGTATGAAATTCTGTTTGCTTTGTTACAGTATATTCCTATTATTTATTAATAAAAATACCTGTCAGTATGAGTTAATATATTTTTTTTGAAATTATTTTTTCCTGAGAGTTGGTTTATTTTATTTGTAACTTTTGTTGATCAATTATCAATCAATACATATATCTGAATTATTCTTCATATCTACGATGAATCAATATACAATAATAATAAAAAAGATAATAAACTAGAGTCATAAGTATTATTGAATTCAGAACTAGTCTATTTTCGGCATTTATTGTTACGATAGTGATTTATACCAAGAATTTGCATATTTTTAATTATATTTTTTTATTTCTAAGATTTCTTTTCGAGTAATTGTCATTTATGGATGAGATATGAATGAATTTATGATGATTATTCTGATTGCTCGGACATAGATATTGAGCGAGTTCTATTTCTTCTTGAAAAATTGGAATTCAGTGATATTTGAAATATATGACTTTAAATATTGAACAACTGATTTAATTTATTATCATATGAATATAGACAGGAAGTGGACCCATGACTATCATTGACATACAGGTATTCAGAAAATATTGAATTCAAATTTTCAAAATTTTATACAAAAATTTCTTAGGATTTGTTTTACAGGCAACGATTATTTTATTGCACTTCATTTTGATATTTCGCATCTTTTGTTTTTATACCAATCCAACCGCACTTTTCAAAGATCGTTATTTCTTGTCAATTATGGAAATTTGAAATTTCAAAATGACGAATATGCGGCTCCTTGCAGTCTGCGTTATCCATTATTGATTTCTTCGAAATATATGCCACATTTCAACTTTTAATTTATTAATTAACCTGTAAATTTGTCCTTATATTATTGAATTGCTTCACAATAATTTTATTCTCAAATTTGAATTGTATACAGTTTGAATTGACCTTTCTAATTATAAACATCCTTAAATTTTGATTTACTAGCCTTCGTTGATATATATAAAATATAATTTTAATAAAAATATCAGAAAAAATTGAGACTGATCAAAATGGCTTTAAACGTTGAGTTTAAAGTTCCAATCTTCATTTCAAGCACTGATTTAGTTTTCTGTTATATATGACACAATAAATCAATACTATTGAAATCTTTGAAATGATTATTTTTTCAGAGATTATATTCAAATTTGAAAAATTTTCAGTAAAAAACAATTGAAAAATTAAGAGGTCATATATATTAGTTCTGATTATATATGATCTAATTAGCTATTTCCAAGCGGAAATACTAAGTTTTATTCAAGATTTTAATATGAAATGACTAAACCTTTTATGCAGGTTGTTGTATTGCATGATTTTGATTGTAATATAACACTATATTGATATCCTTGTCATATTTAAATTCAATAGAGGTATAAATTTCGATTTTTAAAAAAATGAAAAAGAGAGGATGATTAATATATCTATATTGAATATTTTACGAGAAACTATATCTGCCTGACTTGAAGATTGATCCAGGTATGTATATAAAACAATATGATAAAAGTATTTCTTTGGTCATAGATCTGAAAAATTGAAAAGAATTCTTGAATTGATCATCTAATTTCAAGTGTTCAAGAAGGGCTGATAATGTTTTTCTTGGAAGATTTAAATACATATGGATAAGAATTACAATTGTAGAGAGAATTAGCATATAATTTTTTATTTTCAGAATTTTCATCAATAATTTTAATGAATTTAGCTAAAATTAGCATGAAAAATTACAAAAATACAAAAATAATGCTCCAAGTTTAATATTCAATATATATGTTAGTTTATTACAATTTGAATTTAAAATCCAAAAATCGAACTCATAACTCTAGCATTCTGTTTAATTAATGAAGCATAATTCATTTATTAGAAGAATCATCTATAAAATCAAAATTAATTATATAAATTCTTAGAATTTTTTTCACAATAAAATTGATTACAGAAATCATAAATTGCTATTTAAATTGTCCTCGATTCGTATATGTATTATTCTAATGATACATAGCCTTTCATACAAATCCAAGTCTGAAATTTTTATAAATATTTTGATAATGGTAGGATATTTAATGCCAAAGATTCGGCATAACTATTTCAGTCCTTGAAGGGAATCTGAGTATAAGCTATTAAATGCCGATAAAAGAACCTGAATTAATTCAATATTTAAAATCTATTTAATACCAATTCTTCTTGATAGATTAAAGTGAATAAATGTGGTTCAATTTGAATTGCAAAGTTTCAGCTTACGAATATTTTCTTTCTGCTCTTTGATAAAATTTTTATAACACTTTTCGATCGTTCTCTCGGTTAAAAAAAATTGTATTTTGAAAAAAATGATACTCGACTATTGTTTAGCATGTTCTCTCTCATAATTATTTTTCTAACAAAGATTTTGAAAATTTTTGACGGGTATTATTTACAACATCAATTCTTATGTCAGCATCAGCTAGTAAAGTTAATAGTATTGCAGAAATCTTCCCAAACCACAGGAGAGATACTATTGAAGCTCTCTTGAAGGAATTAGATGGTGATGTTGATGCAACAATCGCGATTTTACTTGACACACCAGAAAACACTCCACCACCACCAGAATCTAGCAAACCACCAAGTCACGCATCTGCAAAATCATCATCTACTACTTCTACTCATCATCATCACACTGGAAGCCACACTGCGGCTAAACCAGCACAATCTCATCACTCCTCAAGAAAGCAATCACATGTACCTAAGTTAGATCACATTTTTGATGATGATTTCTTAAGATGGCCAGATGATGCTGAAGTAGTTCGTGTTTCTCATGATGGAAGAACTTCTCCATATCCAGATGACATTACATCCACAGTTGATTTACCAGTTTCAACAGATTCAGTATCGAATGCAGATTCCACAGCTTTAGGAGCAGATACTGCTTACCAAACATCAGGAACTATTCCTGTTTATCCAAAGTCAGGTTCTCAATATGCCGAACAAGAAGATTATCTTTTACCAAGTATTGGAGTTGATGCAAATCTTATTCCTGGTGTGGATGCTGATTCAAAGCAGACTGCAAGCTGGTGGGATAATTTCAAGGCAAGATTCTCAAAGAAGAAAGGAAATCATTATCAAAGTCTAAACTAATGCTTTTTATTAGCATTTTTAAAACTGAAACTAAATATTTTTACAAAAGCTACAATTAGACATTCCTAATATTATTAAATGATGTCAAATTTCAGATTTAGATTTAAAAATAGTTTGATTGAAACAAAATATAGATATTTCGGCCATTTTATCCCCCTATAACTTAATTGCATCTTTGTATTGCTTCATATCATGGTCTCACCTAAATTTAAGAGAAATCTATCTTTATTTGAAGCAAATGATGTATTGATAGATTGTTCACTTATACACATTATTAAAGGAATAAAAATAAAAGTCATTTCTGATGTGTTTTCTTTATTTGCTGTTGATCAAAATTCATCCTCCTGATACATTACCAGAATGGAGTGTCTATGATGTAAATGCAGACGATATCAGGAATGACAATGTAGTTTTTGAAGGTAAAAATTACAAATATATAATTCATGGTTCAATCTCAGTTAAGAAATTTGAAACTACAACATATTCAACATTCAATTTTACAGAAGAACGTGGTACTTTCAAATTTAGTTCAATATCAGTTCAAAATTCAACATATTTTCCTGAAACATTAAAAGAACTAAAAGTTTCAGAAAAAATCAGTATGCCATATGATTCATTTGCTGATATCCAAACAAATCTTACTAATATTGAAAGTTTTAGTATTGAAATAATTGTAAATCAGCCAAATATTTATTTTTACAGCGAACAAAACGAAATTGTGTTTGCTGATGATTTGTCAACAACTATTGATACATCCAAGCTCTCAAGTCTTCAGATTGCTTATTTTCCTGAAAGTTTTCCACTTTTCATTACGCCAACAGATCCTTTACGATTCTTCCCTGACATGAAGTTCATGAATGATAAAGGAATTAATGTCTATATCTCAACAGAAATGGATACTTCCAAAATTTTCGGTTCTAATTTCAAGAAAGGAAAGTTCATATGCTCAAAACCTGTTACAATATATACAGAATCATCCAAAAATTCATTGCCTAACTTCTTTGAGCTTGATTCTTCTTTGAATCTGAAAATCATTTCCCAATATTTACGCGGAAAATACGATCTTTATACATCATTTGATGAAAAATCTCCAGAAATAACTATTACACGAAATGCTTTCCCGAAAAATCAATACATTGATCCGTATGTTCCTTATGAAAACAAATTAGAATTAGTTTTGCACGGATCCGCACTCGATTCATTGAACAACTCTGTTGGATTCGAGTTTAACAAGAAAGTCGACTGTTTAACTATAAGCAGTGTTGATTTTAAATCTAATATCATTTTAATGGCAAATACAGAAAAATTAGTTCTTTCAAACGTTCACGTGTACTTATTCTCAGAAGATATTCCTATTATTGAAGCAGATAGTTCAACATACATTGAATTTATGGCAAATAATGTTGTAGGAAAGAGTTTGACATGTTTGGGTGAAGCTGATACTTCACCATGTTTGTCATTTAATTATGAGTATATTACTTGTTCATATGTAAGTTTGAAATCGATTTCACAAGTTTTGACAAATTTGACCACAAGAATTATTAATTTAGATGTAAATAATTATGAAATGGCTCCAAGAAACATTAACTATGACGGATATTGTATTCACATGACTTCTGCTTGTGGAAATATTTTTTTGAATTATTCAGCTTACAAACAGATAAACATCAATGGATATAATATCAGCAACAGGTTTAACTCTCATTTATACGTTAGATATTCTGAAAATTCCAATGAAAATGTACTTAATATTACAAATTACGATAAAAGTAATAAATGGGAGATCAACATTGACATCTACAATCATGAAACAAATACAAAAATCATTATGAAGAATATGAAAGTTTATTCTTTAGTACAAGAAAAATTAGATCCGAAATCTTTTACATTTATTGGCTGTAAACGCGATGATCGTGAATATGGACATTTCTGTATTGTCAAGGATTACTTCTCATGCAGTTATTGCCCTGAAAAAATGATTCCTGTTTTAGAAACATTTTATTTCAACAGATACCAGGACAAAAACGATATCGTTCAAATACTTACAGCAAGCTCAATCAATTTACCTATGGAGAAGATATCAAAAACAACTGTAATTGTGTCGGCATATCAAAATAATGTTGTAGACCTTAAAATAACGCTTAACAAAGATCCTGATTCGATGCCTACAATGTTGGTAGTAAAGAATTGCAGATTATTGTTCAGTGGCTATGAAAATATCAGCATCAAATTTGAACAATTTGCTCTTCTTCAGAATTCTGAGATATTACAGTCAGGTCATAAAATATTTGTCTCGCAGTCTTTGCTTGCATCACCAAAAATCACTGATTCATTAGTAAACAGGCTACTTCCATCGAAAAATTTGGAAATCCATTTGATCCATTCACAAACTTCCACAAAAGTGACAAAAATTGAAGTGGCCAACGATTATTTATTAGTTTTTTATGGCGAGAAAGCAATTAAATTAATTAGAAATAGTTTTAATTGCTTATTTGTCAAAGACATGTCATATGACGATAAAAGTAACGCAATCGTTCTAAAATCCGCACTTAAAGAGTATTCAGAGTTCTGGTGCTACATCAGGATCTTTGCACAAACAGACAAAATCTATCTGAACATCACAGACTACGAAAACGAATATTATTATTTGGATAACAAGAATGAAGGAATTTTCATTGATTTCGAAATGCCACATTCGAAATTATATGTTTCTTATGACACGAAATAAGCAACATATCATTCGTGTCATTCGTGTTCAATTACCCTTTGCCAGGTGATATCATTCGTGTTCAATTACCTTCTGCAGAGAAAATAGTTGAATTGAACTATAATGGTCAGTATTGTTTGTTTGACAAAAGATCAGATGATTGTTTTCCAAAAAGTACAAAAATTAAAGTGTCAAAAAGTGACAAAATAACATCAGATAAATTTGATACTTTTTATTTAGAGAATTCCATTGATATACAACTATCTTTGTCGTTTGATAATTTGTTGTTTGATTCGAATGTTTTCGAGAAATATTCTGTTAATTTTTACAGTTTAGAAATGGTGAAAATTGATGTTTTGCCAAGTAAATCTGTCAACAACGAAATCACATTGACAAATGTAGTAATGAATATCAAAAATAATGGAAATTTCGAGCTGATTGATTCTAGAAAAGGAAAAATCATTTCAGAGTCAAATAAATTGGCAGGAAAACTAAAAATCAATTGGCAAAACATTGATTCATTAAACTACTTCAAATCTGTTGATTTGGATGTCATTTTGGATGACGCAAAACATCTCAATTTCTCTGAAAATGAAATTAAAATTGATTCCCAAAAAATTGATCTAAAAAAGTGACATCACTTGATTTCTATCTTTACAAAGCATCAACAGAAATCAACTTGATCAGTTTGTATCAGAACAGTTTGAATAATACGAATGCAATGTTGATAACTCCGAAATTCAACATTTTCACTCATGAACCAACATATTTTTATCTTTCAAGTGATTTCGATGACTTTGTTTACAAATCATCCGAAAGAATTATTTTCACTGTTTATGATGATACTATTGTAAACATTTTCCACAAAGAAAAAGTTTCTGAAATGTCACTTTTTGACTTTACAAATGTCAAATTGATTTCTATGAGTTACGAAGCATTTTGTTTAATCCCTTATGATGATGCAAGTCACAATGAATGTTCCGAACTCTACAATACAGTTAGATACAAGAAATCCGAGGCAATTACAGAAAAACAACTCAAATTTGATAAAACTTATATAAAGTTTTATGTAATTGACTCTTCTGACACTTTTTATCCGTTATTGAAGTTAAATACAGTGTCAGAAAGAGAAATAGAGATAAAAGGATACAACATCACGCAGAGGATATCAATAGAGATCGAAAAATGCAAAGAATTGACATTGTTAAATGTCGATGTAAATTTGACAGATTCAGTGTCAGTTTTTGATGTCAAAAATATGAATATTTTCTGGGATGCGTCATTCTATCTCAATGGAAAGATAAACTGCAAAGAAGTAACTGTATTTGACTCTTCTTGGAACTTGATACAGAAAATGAATCAAAAAACAAACGTGACATTGTGTTCTGAAAGAGAAGTGAAGTCAATTTGTTGTTATGACAATTATTTCACAGTTACAACAGTATTTACTAGTTGTAAGTTCGAATACGATGTTCTCAATGATCTAACATTGATTCTTGATCATGCAACGAACATCAAAATCGATTGGGGAGGAAGTAAAACTGCAACAATTCCGTTTTTCCTTGGAATTAATGTGTTCGATAAAAATGGTGACATAAAAGTGACATTTTCAAACCGCTGGTCATTTAGTAATGTTAAATCTCTTAGACAAGGATACTTAGATAGTCATGGTACTGAAATTACTATCTCTAGTGATTACTGGAGCTATCCAAGTCAAGTTTTCGATATGAGCGGTTATTTGAATGTCAGAAAAAAGGGAAGTTACTGCGCAATTTCAAACAACGATAAAGATCAAGAATATTGTCCTGATACTTACACAATATTGACATTCGATGAGTTCAAATTGGCAAGCGAAATGATGCCAAGTAATGATGAACAAATAACTATTTGCGTCGTTGATAATGATTTCGAGTTTCCGAAATCAATTTTCCAAAATTTTGTCACTTTATTTGCCAACAAAAATAAAAATGTCAAAATTTATGATGATGACGCAAAAATAATGACAAATATTAATGAATTACATTTAACAGCAATTAGTGTTATTAATGAAGCCACAAATTTCAAACTTAATAACATTGTTTTGACTGATTCAACATTTTCAGGAAATCAAATTTCCACAAGTAATTTAACAGTCAAAAATCCAACAGAAATCTTTAACCACAACACTGTTAAGATTACTAATACATTGACATTGTATAACAGTGGTAAATCCATTACTTTTGGAAAGGATTCGTTCATTATCAATGATTTCGAAATGAAATACTCAATTTGTCCTTCATTTAAAGTTTATACTCTTGACTTAAATGAATCAACATTGACTCTCAAGGCAAATACAAAAGAAACAAATAATCTCCCTGATTTTTATTTTACTTTAACAAACACTTTGACATTTGATGATTCTCTTTATTATTTGCAGTCAAGAAGAGTTGCAAAGCTTCTTTTCATTTCAAATCATAATGAGATTCATACAAATTACAAAGTTTTGCCAAAAATCTTTGAGTTAAAGACGAATCCTAATGGTTTTTACCATGTGAATTATGGTACAAAGGAACCACCATTTGATTATACACCAATTCCAACAAAATCAGTACCAACTGCTACAGAAAAACCAACAGTAAATCCAACTGATATTCCTCCAATAACTTCAACAAATTCTCCTGTTGAAAAAGGTAAGAAACCAAAGACATTTTTCATGATTTCTATTTTGATTGTTACAGCAGCATTGATTTACTTGATTTACAACTTGTTGAAGAAATGGAGAAAGTTCGATGTTTATAACAATAGATTTGAAGTTTCTAGTGAATATTTAGATCGTAGAGATCATGTAATGACTTTTATTTAATATTATTTTTTTTTTTGTTTTATTTATCATTAAAACATTTGTAAGTATTTATAAAGATTCTCTTCTATTTAAAGTTTAATAAACATGAAAAATATCATTTATTTACTTCGTTATTCTTTTTATAATAATCTCACTGCAATTTTAAGAGCAGTTAATCCTTTGCCTTTTTATATAAGGTTTCATTGCGTTGACATAAATTCATGTTAAATAAAATATCTTGGAATACAAATCACTTAAAATTGTTTTGAGTATTACAAACTCAAGAAAATTGAAATGATGTGTGTAGTATTATCTATATCACCTCAATTTGTTTTTTTGAATAATAAACTCATTCTATTTCATATGAAAGACATAAAAATTAAATTAGTTAATTATTACAAGATAAAATATTTGGCAATGTTAAGAGTATTTTTGGGTCAAAACAAAAACTAACAGTTGGACAAGCAAAGATATCAATATCAGTGATCAATGTTGTACATTTAATAGCAGGGCAAACAAAGTCTTTATATGAAATAGAATGGTTTAGAAATTTTCCGAATTGAAATTGAGATGTGACATGAACAATAACATCATCTGGTAGTGTGCCAGAAATATTATTTATTCCACAATATGCAACATGCTTTATCAAACTATCTCTAAAGGCACCTTCTGCAGAAACAATGTATCTTGGTAAAATCAACAAATCAATTGGACAACGACCGAATGTGAAATTACTATGAATTGATGTTAATGTTTCGGGCAAAATAATTTGTTTCAATTTTCTACAATCATAAAATGTTGCATCTCCAAGAGATTTGATTTTAGTACAACTCATGTCGACAAACTCTAAACTATAGCATTCCCTAAATGCATGCCGTTCTAATGTTAATATTGAAACATTAAATATAAATTTAACAAAAGATGTCGAGCTAAATCCTTTAACTCCCGAAATGACTTTTGTTGTTGGTAATATGTCAACAAATGAATTACATGGATATCCTATTAATGTTTTTAAATCTCTTGAATATAGTGCCTTACAATATGTTTTAAAATAAGGACTTTCTGATATAAACTCTTCTAATTCTGGACATCCCCAAAAAGCTAAATCATCAATGAATTTTATTCTTTTAGTTATTGTGATGTTTTTCAGTTTCGTATACGCAAACATTCCTGATGTTATAACAGTCAAATCATCTGATAGCAATGCATTCTCGATTTTAGAACCCAAAAAAATTCTTGTTGAAGAAAAATTATGAGATTTTGAAGGCCTTAAATCAATAAATTTAAGAGAATATATCCCCAAATCCGTAAAAACCAATTGATATCAATGATTTCGGAGAAATAAACTGAGTAATTTTAGTTTCTCGAAATGAATAATCTCCAATATATTTTATTGAATCAGGAAGATTGATTGAAGTAATTTTGCATTTGAGAAATGCATTGTTTCCAATAGATGTTACATATTTATTTTCAATTTCTGGTGGAATTGTAAGGGGACCTTCATAATCAGGAAATTTAAGAGAAATATTTTCACCATCCCCTACTTGAACCTCATTTTCATTGATGTATATGTATAAAAATGTGGTTTCAGCAACATATTCATTCACATAAAAATATTAAAAGTGACAATTCGATCCAAATTGAAGGATTGAGTTCTAACAGGCATTTACCTTTGTATAGCCTGCAAAGTCTTGATAGTGCAAGTTGTTTCGTTCATATAGGAAAGAATCAAAATTAACTCATAGAAATAGCATATTTTGTAAGGTATATATTGATGATAAAAAGTATGTTTATTGACTTCTTTATAATTATAGTATATTTAAAGAATTAAATGATTTGCTATTTATATTTACTCATAAAACTAGTAAACAGCGACCAATTTTCATGAACATATAAATCACATATTCTATACATGGTGTGTAGTTGGTTATGATGTCAAAGTCAGTATTTACAGAAAAATCTAACGATCGGAAAAATTGACATAAAAAATTTTTTGACAGCGATGCAAAGAATTCGTCTTGGATATGCTGGTCCACAAAAGAAATGGGAGTCAATCAAATGGAATGAGTTCATTACTTATGCCGGCGAACGCGGAATGGACGTTATTTACATTGATCTCGATAAAGATCTCGAACCACAAGGTCCATTCGATATTATCTTGCATAAAGTCACTTACATGATGCACTCTCCGATTGTTGATCAGAATCCTTTGATTAAAAATCTGATTACATATATCAGAAACCATCCAGAAGTAATTGTTCTTGATAATTTGGAAGCTGTAGGAATAACACTTGACAGAGAATTGCTTAACAATGCAATTGAGTCTATTAAATGGCCTGAGGGTGTTGATATTCGTGTTCCTCATGCAGATATGTTATTACAATCAGATCTCGAATCAATTAAGAAAGTAACATCCAAACTTCGCTTCCCTCTACTTTCTAAGCCAAAAGTCGGCTCAGAAATTGTTGGAGCTACCAAAGAAACCGCTCATATGCTTAGACTTGCTACATCTCCAGAATCATTAGTTGGTGTTGCTACCCCAACACTCTTACAAGAATACATCAACCATGGCGGTGTTGTTTACAAGATTTATACGATTGGTGACCATTTAGAAGTTACAGCTCGTCCATCTACAAGAAATGTTGAAAGTGGAGAGGACATTTCTATCGACTTTCACTCGGAAAGACCAGATGACCCTAACGGAGTCTGGATTCATAAAGATGGACTTGATAAGATCCAAATGCCAATAGAAGACTTCAAGAAACTCTCAAAGGCAATCAGAACAAGCATGAAGATGGAACTTATTGGCTTTGATATCCTTATCGACGAAAAAGGAGCTTATTGGATCGTAGATTTGAATTTCTTCCCTGGATATAAGATGATTCCGAACCTTTGGGAGCTCTTCTACAACTTCTTCATGAGTTTGCTTAAAAAATGAATATAAATTGTTTTAAATAATATTTTTTTTTTTATTTTGATTTTATTTATTAATTAGTAATGTTGTATTGCTTCACTACATGTTTTGTTTTTATCAGAACAATGCAACTAGATATTTTACCTAATTCGGATTTTCAATATAAAATTGGGATAGGATTTTAGAGATAATCTATTATGTAAGGAAGCTACTTTGTTCCCTATAGGAATGAAAAATGTTCGTGGAGCCAAATACTTTTGCATGATTATAATGTTACATTTGTATTGTTACATGATTAATTTACAAAGAACTTTTTATGTAAAAGATGTAGATATTATATAATATTGTCATATTAAAAAGTGAAAAAATACAATTTCTCTGAGTGAAATTCAATCAAACAGTTTATAACATATGGAATGGAATGATTTCATTCGGATTTACTTTAGTCACAATGGCTCAAGAACGCTCATTAGTTTTAAATGAAAAATTCAAAAGATCGAAAAATATAACAAGCATCAAAAGGAAAGTTCAAGATTGTCAAATACATCATAAGTAATTACTTAGATCATTCAAATAAATCAAAAATTTAAAAAAAAAAACATATATAGGAAGATTTTAACTAGAAGTGTATTAACTCTAACCATCATATCTAAGCTAAACTTGTTTCAACAATTAATGTTTATCCATAGAGCACCTTAATGATGCAGTTGTACATATATATTGCCTCATAATTTTCTGGATCTTTAGATCAAATTTCCTTTAATACTTCAATATCTACCTGTTTATATATTGAATAATGCATATAAATAGATAGAAAATGATAAGTATTAACTTTGATCATCAATATTTGATATTTCGTGAAAATAATATTCCTTTATTAAGGAATAACAATTCTACAAAGTCTGGTTGTAATAATATATTTTCTCAAAATAGCATCCTATGTAGATAAATATTGTTTATTATTTAGAATTTGGAATTATAAAAATTTATTTATGCATAAATACATTTCCAACAAGTTAAAAATACTATATTAACAATATTGAGCATTGTTTTGTCAAAGACTTAATCAAATTTCCAAGATAATTGATTGCAAATAAACATTTTGTTCAGTAATTATTTTTTTGAAAAATCCGACTCACACAATCCATGTTGTGAAGGGTGTATGCCAAAATTATAGACTCAATGCTTTTTTATATTATGATGATAGATATTGGTAATTGCGATGGATCTTATGTGGTGTAAAGTGAATATTATTGTAAATTATTTCGGAGTATGAACTAATTAAAGGAAAATACTATTCAGCCACTAAATTGATATTCAAAAATTCAATTTCATGGACAATTATTAAAGACTTGTAAGTATGGTCTGATTCTGAAATAATTCTTTGCCTATAAAAAGTTCTCTCAAGAAGGTTTCTCTCTGAAAGTTCACATTCCCATCCGTAATAAAAATTTTGCACTTTTCTAATTTGCCGCGTCAAATGTCAGGCGGGAGGCTATCAACTAATTAAAGATTATATAATGTTATGATATAATGGATTAAAAAAACGATAGAATGTCAGGCGAAAATGAGGGGAAAAGTGAGAAAAAGTGGCTTTTCAGTTTACAATTTTTAGTTGATACACCTCTTTTTAACTTACATATTATGAGAGGAATAGTTATTGTTCTATGTGTGTTTATCTCATGGATGAGAACATAGCGAAGTTAAATAGCATTTGTTCTTTTCTCCGTAGTCTAATTGGTGAAAACTTAAGAACACCTGGATAAATAGTTCCATAGAACAAAAGTTTTGCCATTGTTACGGCCTTTTTTGTCGGATCATTAATAGGGGTTGTAGTATCCGACATTGAAGCTGCATTATCACCGATATCAACTATCTTAAATCTCGAGAAATTTCTTAATGGAGTTGTGATTGGATATGTGACTGCTTTTGTCACATTGCCATTAACATTAAATGAACTAAAATCACCTGGTTGAACAACGCGACGATCAATTACAACCCAAGATCCTCTCACTATTTCAATATAAGCTCCATTTTTAAAATGGTTTTTAAATATCGAACAATGAAAAATGTGATGAGACTTGATGATTTTTTTTTCTTCGAAAATATCTCGCATCGATCTTCTCAATTTAATCATACGAAAGAATTTGTTTAATCTCTTAATAATCTATTATCTTTTAAAAAATTCATGGAAAAACTTCTTAAAAAAATGCATATCTTCTAGGAAATATCGCATACTCATTAATCGCCACTCCGCTAATGGTTAAATATCAAATTGATAATTTCAATATTGCAGTAATGTTTCCACTCTGGTTTGGAAGTGTGAACACATAATATCTGAGGAATATAGTAAATGATTCACTAAGAAGTATAATATCTTCAGAAGGTTAATAAAATTCAAAAAGAAATTTGAAAAAAGAAAGAAAAGTTACATAGCCATAAAATGTTCATTTCTTTATTAGAGAATTTACTTGATTGGGTTTGGCTTCTTGTTGACGGAACGGATAACGCCGACAGCGACTGTCTGCTTCATATCACGGATGGCGAAACGGCCGAGTGGTGGGTACTCCTGGAAGGACTCGACGACGAGTGGCTTGGATGGGACAACCTCGACGATAGCGGCATCATCCTTCTGAATGTATTCTGGGTTCTCTGTAGCCTTCTTGCCGTGGCGACGATCGATACGCTGGATGAGCTTGTCGAACTTGCAGGCGATGTGAGCTGTGTGGCAGTCGAAAACTGGCTGGTAGCCGGCGTGGATCTTGCCTGGGTGGTTGGAGATGATCATTTGAGCTGTGAAGGAAGCGCATTCGACTGGTGGGTCACGCTTTGTATCACCAACGACGTAGCCACGCTTGACATCAGCTGTGGAAACGTTCTTGACGTTGAAGCCGATGTTGTCACCTGGAAGAGCCTCTGGAAGGGATTCGTGGTGCATTTCGATGGACTTAACTTCAGCTGTAACTGTGGATGGGGCGAAGTTAACGATCATGCCTGGCTTCATTGTGCCGGATTCGACACGGCCGACTGGAACTGTACCGATACCGTTGATCTTGTAGACATCCTGGAGTGGAAGACGGAGTGGCTTGTCGAATGGGCGCTTTGGTGGCTGAAGGGAATCGAGGGCTTCAAGAAGGTATGGGCCATTGTACCATGGCATGTTTGGAGACTTCTCTGTCATGTTGTCGCCAGCCCAGCCGGAGATTGGGACGAAGCGGAACATTTCTGGCTTGTAGCCGATGCCTGTAAGGATGCGTGTCATTTCGGCTGTGATTTCGTCGAAACGGGCCTTGTTGTAGTTGACTGTCTTGTCATCCATCTTGTTGACGGCGACAATGACCTGCTTGATGCCGAGTGTGAAGGCAAGAAGAGCGTGTTCACGTGTCTGGCCTTGTTCAGCGATACCGGCTTCGAAGCCACCGAGTGTGGAGTCGATGACAAGGATAGCAGCATCAGCCTGGGATGTGCCTGTGATCATGTTCTTGATGAAGTCACGGTGTCCTGGGGCATCGATGATGGTGAAGGAGAACTTCTGGCCTTCGAACTTCCAGAGGGAGATATCGATTGTGATACCACGCTCACGTTCAGCCTTGAGGGAATCCATAACGAAAGCGTACTTGAAGGAGGACTTGCCGAGTTGTTCAGCTTCCTTTTCGATGGCAGCAAGTTTACGCTTATCGAGACCGCCGCACTTGTAGATGAGGTGGCCTGTTGTTGTGGACTTGCCTGCATCGACGTGTCCGATAACAACAATATTGATATGCTCTTTCTCCTTACCCATGAGAAAACAAAGTGAAGGACCACGATGGTTTACACTTTCTCAATTTTCTGAGCAAGTAAAATCATCATTTTGAGAGGCACTTTTCTATTGATTGGTTGATCAAATTTGATGCTTGCTATGCATACATTATTTTTATTCAATAATTTTTTAAAGACTAGTTTTTGAATAAAATATTATCGAACCGATTGTGAAAAAAATTCCAAAAAAAATATAGAAATTGATTTTTATCAGAAACTTACTAGGTAATGGCATACCTTTTATCATGAGATCAAAATCTTTATTTTTAAATTTTTATATATTTAGAATGTTTGATGATAATACAATCGAATTCATAAGATATCAAATTGTGGATATTTCTCTACCGTAGATTTTTTTAGAATGGAGTTAAAATATAATATTGAATTGTTAATGTAATCAAATTCGCCCGCTTTTTACACATAATCAACTTTGCGATGAATTTTCTTGCAAAGCCATCATCAAATCCGCATTCTTTTTTTATCAAATTCAGTTCCAAAATATGAAATATGGCATGTTAAGATAGAAAATGATCAATAACCCTATTTATGGATTATTGTCTTACGAAAAGTATCACTTTTGGGGCATAGAAAGATGTGAAACTATATACCTTTATATCGGTTACATTAATTATGGAATACAATGGCGTGGAATAAGTTTTCTTTTTCCCATTACATCAAATGGTGAATAAATTTTAGAATTATTAAGATTTAAGATTAGAATTATAGGGAAAATGCATATGAAAAACAGGGTTCTGGGGCTTTCGAGACTCCTATACAACTTTCCATAATTTTCACATCAAAATTATGTGAGAATTCGAAATATTTCCCGTTGATATAAGTTCACATCATATCAAAGATCATTTCTTTATGTGACATATTACTTAAATTTTAAAATCAAATTCTTCAGATGTCTTCAGAGCAAGAAGCTGAAAAACTAACTGATGAGGAAAAGCCAAAGGATGAGAATCCAATAGATGAAAATTCTAAAGAAGAAGGTAATGATGAATATGATAGTGATGAATATGGATCCGAAGAAGAAGAATCTTCAGAATCAGAATCAGATGATATCGAGTTAGATCAAGATCTTAACGTCCAGGCTCAAATGAGTGCTATTGCATATTCAACACGCGCATTAATTCAACCAGGTCCACTTAATAACTACGAAGCTTGGATTACTCAATCAGATATTGTTACTCAAGGCAGCAAAAATCCTTGGGAAATTATTAATCCATCTGGTGTTCATCCACGTAACAACAAGAAATCTATATTTTATTACGATCTTTCTGCTTTGCCTAACGATGTAGAGTCAAAGCCTTGGACAGCTCCAGGTGCTGATATTACAGATTGGTTTAATTACGGATTTACAGAGGAAACATGGGAAGAATATAGAAAAACTATGCTTAATCGTATCAAGAATATTGAATACGAACAAGAAATTAAGAGCCTTACTGGAGATACACGTCAACAAGTTAAACGAAATTAATTCCTTCCATTGTAGTCCTATGCAAATAAAATGTTATTTTAAATACTTTTAAAAATCAGAAACCTTTATTACCAGACTCAAATTGAGTATTGCAAACCAATGTTAGATTAAATAAACAATTAAATTTATTATATATAGTTATACATACAAACAATTTTTATTCTGAGAATTAATTTTAGTTAATTTTTTTTGTGAGCTTAACTAATTTTATCACTAAGCATTTCAAGTTACGATTCTTCGTCTTTTCTTTAATTAGTTCCTTTTTCATTTGATCAATTTTATGGATTTTTTGTTCTCGTTTAGCTTTTGCCTTCTCAACGCATTCTTTAAGGTATCTAACGTTCTCTTCATTTGCTCCTGGTTTTATGATTATTGGTGTATTAATTCCAAAATAAGTAACAATTGGCTCGCAAGGACATTCTTGTTCGATTCTGATACCTTTATCTATGACTTCTTTCCTTAATGCATTGAAGTCATCATTTATTTTTATTAATTTTTCTTTTTCGTTATTTGCCTCAAGTTTTGCTGCATCAAATGCCTTTCTAACACTATCGCATTTCTTTTTTGATTCAGTATCTGAATTCCAAATTGTTTTTAACAATGTTTCAGCTTGATTAAATTTATTAAGCAAGACTTTGGTTTTATCAGCAGAAAACATCACTTTGTGTTCACATTCTGTTTTGAATATATCTAATTTTTCTCTAAATTCATCAAGAAGGGCATGCAAATGAGGATCATTTTCTAAATTCTGAATAATTTTTGATTTATATAGTTTCCCTTCTGTATAAAGTTTGTGTAGATTTTCCAATCTACTTGAATACTCATACTCGTGATTACTCGATTTATTATCATATATTTCTTGAATCTTTTTCACATCTTTGCCCATTTTTTCCATTTCTTGTCTTAAGTGATGCATTAACTCCGTTTCTTGCTTTGCCTTGTTGATATTCTCATTATTTTGTTCTTCGAGCTTTTTTGAATAAAAATATTTTTGTTCAAATATTTGTCTAAGTTCGTTTAACGCCTGTGTATACTCACATTGAACCTTTACTTCATCTTTTGATTTAGATTTTTTGATTTCATTAAGCTGGCTCTTATAACGCGCGCTTAATTTTTCAAACCTATACTCATTTTGCAATTGGACTTGAGATAAGGATTCATTTTCAGCTTTGAGCGTTTGAATTTTGAAAGCTCTTGTTTCTTTCCAGATTTTATGCTCATTAGTAGTTGTTTGAATATTTCCTTCTGCATTTTCACGTATCAATTGGAGATTTCGATTTAACTCATCAATTTTTCCTTGGATACTTTTCAAATTCAACTTTAAACACTGCTTTTTCGTTTGATTTTCAGATAATTGTTTTTGCAATTGATCGTTTTGAAAGCTTCTACATGTTTCTTGTATTTGATTTAAATGTTCTTCTAAAGATTGTTTATGATATTGAAGTTTATTGATCTCCTTTTGAGATTCAAGAATGATTTTCTCTTGATCATTGCATTGATTTGTTATATCATCAAGATGTTTACTTATTTCTTGTTTTTCGACTATTTTTAGTTTTGAATTTTCTTTGAACTGATCTAATTCTGATTTGAAATTATTAATCTGATCATTTCTAACGTTTAAAATACCGATGTTGTTTTCTAAAGTACTTTTTAGCGTTGAAATTTTATCAGATAGTTCTTGAATTTCTTTATCTTTTGCAGAGATTGAAGAAATCAGATCATCGAATAAATCCATTATGAAATCATGCGATTTTGGAATTACAGAGATTATAAATGCTAATGATTAAAAGAACTATATGTTGTCGAATAAGTCTAAATTTTAAACGGACAATGAAATTCGGAATTAAGGTTCTCAACCTGAGAATCCTTTTCTTCAATTTCTTGATGTATTCTAATCATATGAAATGAATATCGTTTAGCATGGATATTTTAAAAGCAATATTAAAAAAATAGGAAATTTTTGAAAAAAATTTAAAAAATTATTCCCATAATAGTTAGACAATACATCTAGTATATTTGGTACTAAACAATATAGGATTATTGAAGTTTTTATTATTTGAGCAAATAAAATAGTTATCTAATTCGAGGAATATACTTTCCAATTAAATGCATGTATGGCAAGAATTGATAAGTCTTGCTTTTATCAATGAAAATATAATTATTTAAAAATGTTATCTTTGTTTCTTTGTTTATTCATATGCCACAAGATTATAAAACTTTCAATGCTGAAAAACATCAATGCTTTAGTTTATAAACTTGAAATAATTGAATTTTAAAATTTTTTCTATTAATTAGTTTTCTTAGTGATTGTTTTAATAGAAAAAATATCACTAAAATTTTATAAATAAACCAATCAAAGTATGAGACATCTACATGACTAAATTGAATATCAATATAATCGTGGTGACAATCTTGCAATAATTTGAAAGAGATATCGTCATTAAAACATATCACGTCTTTTTCAATTTTAAAATAATTGCCATTCAATTTTTTTGAATAAATTTCTAACCTCGCACTCAAATATCTTCTTATTTTAAATGAAACAAGTTTATGGTCTAATTATTCATAGTCTAAGTATGTGTATAAAATGAACTTAATTTTTATATAAAATACGGTGAAATTTAATTGTGAATAATCTTATTCAGATGGCTTTTTAAAACGTTATTAATAAAGATATAAATTGATCATCCTCTCAATTTTTCCTTAATTCAAAATATTCAGAAATGCATTTGTTGCCACAAATTTACTATAATATCAATAAAAAGTTATAATCTATCTTTTAAACTAAGGGTTTCGTTTTGCTAAAATTGTCACTTTTATAGCATATTTGTTTTTGGATGTTTTGCGAAACCAAAAAAAAACTATGATATACAATGTGTGTGTAAAGAAAATACTTTATTTACTAGTTAAAAAATCATTTGGTATTGATCAAGTTATTTTTTCTGGATAAGATATTATATGGATAATTGGATAGAAAATACAATTATATAATCTTGTACCTGGTTTAATTAAGCTAATTGTCATCAGAAACTTGTAATTTTTATGAATTTCAGAGGCGTCAAAAATTTTCTCACTGGGTTTTCGTCTATCAATCCCAGCTCATTATATACGCAACCAATCAAAAATCTGATATGGGAGTCCAAGGCTAACTTTTTGTTGTCTACCTAATAAAAGAGGAAGCAGCATTAGTGAGAATAATCGCAAATATTCAATTTAAATTATCTTTTTATTCTTAATTTAAAGTGACAAAAAGAATAAAAAACCTATTCTAAGGCATGTTGTTATGTAAATGAGACTAGACATCATATTTTATGTTATGAAAAAAAAATATTTAGAATTTTAGAACAAAATAAATAGAAAAAATAGCATAATTTATGGATGTGCGTATATTAAATTTAATAAATTAAGAGAAATTATTTTTGGCGCCAAAATTATTCGTTAACTCTCAAATTTTTCTGAGTCAATAAGCCGCCAAAAAAGTGTCATTTTGTTTCGTTAGAGAAAGATGAATTGTCCATGTCATCCAATCGGGAACAAGGGGGATGGGGATTAGATGATAAAGAAGCAATTCATGCTCTCTATCTGAAGCAATCAGACTTACCAGCAACAATGTGAATCGATTTGGCTTTAAAGTTAATATAGCAGATCAGCTTGTTACTGGAGAGACTAGGCATTACGATTGATTCGCTGTAGTGCTCTACTTTAATTTAAGAGTAGTAACGGATAACTGAATTCCCAAAATTCTTTAGGTGATCCAAAACACTGTAGCTGCTTGAACTTTGGACGAGCCTCGCACCCCAGAGAATAGAAATCCCAATCTTGCTCATGTTTAGTTGAATTAGTCTGCAGCAGTACAGCTCTGATACCACAAGATCGTGATGTATACAAAGTCACAACGCTATTTGATTCAACAACTAGCTAGTTTTGACATCAAATTGCAAAATTTGACTTCGTTATGAGCTCTTTGTAGCAAAAATACATTACACTTAAAGACTAGTTGCTAGACTGTAGTAGTTTGTTCGTATATATCTATTTTTCCCCAACGTATTGCATACTACATTTTGACAAGACTTGCAACCTTATAGTAACCTCGTTGGGAATTGTTCAAGCAAAGCGTAGGTAGTTAAGGTCGAGTAAGAGTTCTTCTTAAATCTTTCACTGAATGAGTAGGTGTTGGAAGAACTGTTCTCTAAAGCGATACAGTTGCGCTACATGTTCGTCAACTTGTCTAGAAATAAATATATCATTTGTTTTATACGTTTTTTCGTAATAAATCTATTTGTATTTGTTGTATTTGAGTATGAAGATAACAAAAACTACGGCATAAGACGCAGTACACTGGGCTTCGTTGCCATTTTATTTACCATGTTAAGAATAAACTTAACAGACATGCTTTGTTTTCGACGAAGCCATCTAAAATAACGTACATCTAAATAAAACTAAAAAACTGTAAAATTTCTTTATTTGATAGTATACTTCAAATTATGCACTATACCTTCTAGAATTCTATAACACTCTTTGCATATAATTTTTTTAAAAAAAGTTATATCTCGACAAAAATATGATTTATCAATAGAGTATGTAAAATAAAACTCATTCGCAGTATTAAAAAATCGTAAATCTTTCCAAAAAAATTTTGAATTACAAATTTTAAAACTTAAAACAACATTTTTTGAAGCGAAAAAACGAAATCTAATTTTTTTGGAAAATTTAGAATAAATAGAGCTCTTTAACTCGTCGAATACAAATTGTTTTCAAGTTTTTTTCGACCGGAAATTGAACTTTTAGAGTTTATACAATAAGATTCACATGAAAAAATACGGGTTTAACAAAGAAATCACCAATATAAAGGTTTTTTAGTAGAACGAGATTGATAAAAACTATGGTATGATAAAAAGACGATATTTTTTTTGGCGGGATAATTGAAGAATATGAATGATTCGAATTACAGACATACTCTAGTCCGAAACTTACTATGGTTCGTGACTTATTTTTGACACAGAATAGCTGTAGACTAAGGCTTACTCTAGATCCAGACTTATTATACAATTAAATTTGCTTTTGGAATAAGACTTAATTTTAGTTACAAACTTATCTTAATATCAGACTTATATTTAGAATCAGACTTACTTTAGTCTAGAACTTACATTTAGAATCAGACTTCCATTTCAAGTCAGACTTACTTTCGTCCGAGACTTACATTTCAAGTCAGACTTACTTTCGTCCGAGACTTACATTTCAAGTCAGACTTACTTTCGTCCGAGACTTACATTTTAAGTCATACTTACATTAATATCAAACTTATATTAACCTACGACTTACTTTTATTCCCAGACATCTTGATCCACACTGACATTGAAAACCACTCATACATCTAAAGCCACTCAAACATCTAGATCCACTACGACATGGAAATCCACTCAAACATAATTTTTGCTCTCTAACTACATTTTTATATGATTTTACAACCTAAATTTTCTTCTTTACCTAAAGATTATTCGCAATATCTGAATATCATTAATTAATTGAGATATTCAAGTTTTGACAGCGGATTTGGAAAGCAGACTTGATGGAGATTTTAAATCTGATGTCAAATCTTGGTTTTGTGCATTATTGGAAGAGAAAAAAGGGTGTTAATTGCAAATCTTAAATATAGGTTTTTACGAAAAATGTAATTAGGGTTAGAATCATAGAAAGATATATCTGTCAGACATTGTTATGTGTGACAGATAATATTGCATCTCATAGACACTGTTGCATCTGTCAGACACTGTTGTATCTCATACACACTGTTGCATCTGTCAGACACTGTTGCATCTGTCAGACACTGTTGCATCTCATAGACACTGTTGCATCTCATAGACACTGTTGCATCTTTCAGACACTGTTGTATCTCATACACACTGTTGCATCTGTCAGACACTGTTGCATCTGTCAGACACTGTTGCATCTCATAGACACTGTTGCATCTCATAGACACTGTTGCATCTTTCAGACACTGTTGCATCTCATACACACTATTGCATCTTTCAGACACTGTTGCATCTCATACACACTATTGCATCTTTCAGACACTGTTGCATCTCATACACACTATTGCATCTTTCAGACACTGTTGCATCTCATAGACACTGTTGCATCTCATAGACACTGTTGCATCTCATACACACTATTGCATCTTTCAGACACTGTTGCATCTCATAGACACTGTTGCATCTCATAGACACTGTTGTATCTCATAGACACTGTTGCATCTGTCAGACACTGTTGCATCTCATAGACACTGTTGCATCTCATAGACACTGTTGCATCTCATAGACACTGTTGCATCTGTCAGACACTGTTTTATCTCTCGGACACTATTACATTATCTTACTCTATTTCTAATTTTAAATATTTTTCTGTTTTTTGTTTTCATTATTAAATTTATTTTATAAAAATTATTTCTCTTACTTAAATTTTAAATTTCTTCTTAGTTTAATCCTAAAATTCGTTTACTTTTAAAATTGACATTCCGTTTAATGGCCATGGCTCCTTTTGATTATGGATGTATTATTGATCTAAATAAAATCAATAGTACTATTCTTAAGATAATAAATTATTCAAAATATCTCGTTCAGAATAATATAGACCTCGATTTAGAAGATCCAGAATTTAATGATATTCAGGCTGAATGTAAGCGCATTCGTACATGTGATGCTTATAACTACATTACCCTTTTTGTAATACATAACT